GTCAAATGTCAGTAACAAGGCTACTGCTGGGTGATTCTTAGCAGTTTCCGGATAAATGATGAATTCGCGAACAAAGTTTTCTTCATTGAAGGAGAAATGAGAAATATAGTCGACGGAAAAATTCTGTAACCAACTTTTAAATTAAAAGGCGATTAATGATCTCGAACATAAACGCGCTCGCTTCGCTCGCACGTTAAAATATCTCGATCATTAATCGCCCTCATTAATACACTAGTTGGTTAAATAACTATTTTCTTCTCCGTAGTTTTACTTCAGGTACATGAATGTTTATTTGACTAAGTAGATCAGGTACATTCAGTTTATTACTGATTATGTCTGAAACAAACAGCACATCATTGATAGCTCTTCGGGACTTTAGTGTTCTTTGCTCAAATTCCATGAGTTGAGTTCTGTATGAGATCATAAAAGCAGATTCTTTATGTTTCCTGTAGTAAAGGTTTCTCAGAAATTTCCTTTGTACTTTTTCTAACATTTCAGAGTATACACTGGTGTTGGGATTCCATATAACTGAGGCATATTCTAGTTTAGGTCGTACAAAAGCATTGTATAGAAGTATTCCGGTTTTCCAGTTGAACTGATATGATATGATGATCAGAAACATCTCAAAACGTGACTTACAGTCACAGAACATGCCATGCCAAAAATTATCGATCTCAGCCTACTCTTTTTATGAGCAAAATAATTTTTTATCCCAGAAGTCCACAGCCGAGCCATGTCCCAACATTTTACAGACACCCTGTATTTATATGATTTCTCCTATAGTATTTTTTTGTCCACGTCACTGGCGTGTCCTATCGATCGGGTTTCAAGGACGAACGGGTTCAGGCAGGCGCCCTGGAGATGAATCCGTCATCGGGGTGGATGGAAGGGTGGCACAAATTTGTCGGGAAACGCCCCGTTATCGAAAACATCACACTTGAGATGAAAAATCGCTGACGAAAATGATAAGCGATGGGAATAGTCTGGACTACTTTTCGCAAACACCGCTTGCTGCGATGCTAGAAGAATTTCGAAAAATTATGAGCATCGTAGTCAAAACTCATTACTCCAGATTTTTTTGGGATTTACTCTCCTCTTGGTGACGTTGGCATTCAAATGAGTTACAGGATGTTCTCATTAATTAATCTTGAATTTACCATTTTCATTTTCAGATTTCAGTAGTGAATACCATGTTCTATCTATATCAACTGAAAAGGAAGCAATGCTATTGTCTCCGTTCAGAAGAATGCAAGCAGATTCCTTGATTTTTCTTTTCTGGTTGTTATCTTCTTTTCCAATGATTATAATAGTATTCCATTCTGCCATATGTTGTCCATCTTCAGTGAGGATATGTTCAGCTAGTTTGTCGATGTGTCTTTTCCGAGGTCTTTTCTTTATATTGAACAACCAGAAAAGAAAAATCAAGGAATCTGCTTGCATTCTTTTAAACGGAGACAATAGCATTGCTTCCTGTTCAGTTGATGGTATTCACTACTGAAATCTGAAAATGAAAATTAAAGATTAATTAATGAAAACATCTTGTAACTCATTTGATTGCCAACGTCACCAATTGTCACTGAGAACTGAAAAGTATCAAGACGTAGATCAAGACAAATACGAATTTGCTATTCCATTTTTCATGTTGAAAACGGGAGCAGATTCGTTCCCGAAACGTCCAGAGCTAAGTGAAAATTTGATATGTTTTCTATATTTCTTTATTTCTCCTTTTTCAATACATATTGTCACTGACAAGCTAGTGACATTTTAGGGCAAATCATCTGATTTGTCCTTACTACACGTATATTGAAATAATATTACTATTTTCATTTTACAGAAACGAGGAGAGAAAATAACATACCATTACCTTCTTTTGAACTTGTAACAAGTTTCGCACGTTTTTAGTCCCAGAACATCAACAGCAAAATTCAACAAATCTGAATGAGCTTCTAGAATTTATCGTTCAAAATGTCGTTGGTCAATGTATCGATGAGGTAACGACGTCGTATTTTAACGATAAGTTAATGATCAATAATAATTATTGTCATTATAGTAAATAATAATAATCTTTTTATAAGTTGATGTGCCCGAGACGAGTAAATAAAAAGTTTTTCACAAAGAGAGAGAAGCTCAAAGGCATTACCACAATAGTTCATAAAATGATCGAAAATGGTGGATAACGAGAGAAAAACAACAACATTCGATTACATCCTCCCTGAATCTGCACGTAGTCACTTAGGCGCAGCTCGGCGTTCAGGAAAAAAACAATTGCGATTTTATTCGTCTATATCCAGGAAAGTAGTTGTTTTTAGCTCGTTATCTACCATTTTCGTTAATTTTATGAACTATTGTGGTAATGACTTTGAGTTTCTCTATCTTTGTGACCATTGCATTTCACTTCAAGTATTTGGCTTTTTCCTATAGTTGAAAGTTTTTCGTTTATGTCAATTGTCGAGCAACATCCTGTATATCCAGTCGCCCCCTCTTTTGACGTCAGACGAAGGTTGCATAATTTCCAACGGCTATCATTTATACGTCCATGTAGTTAACTCATTGAATGAACTAATGGAAGTAGATTTGGTATGGTTACTCAAATATATGTCACTGGAGCATGAGTATTTCATGACAGTTTGCGAGTTCAATTCAAGAATATTTCCTCGTGTACACTTCATGGTCTACCATATTTCATCGTCCAAAGACACTTCATCTATACTCGAGTATACATTTTCCATTATCTCATGGTGAATCAATATAATTTGAAATCGCATTTCCATTGGACATGTAGAAATGTGAAATTCGAATGAAATTCGAATGAAATTCCAATGAAAAATATATATTATATACATAAATATATCTCAGCAAAACCAGAGGAATATTTAATAATGTATACCACTCATGAACGGAATATTTAATAATTGCATTGTCAAATTGACCTTAAATTTTTGAACTGTGTATATAGTACTCCATTATTTGATGAATACCTACAAGTCAAAAAGAATATGACGATAGGTTCCATTAGCAAAAAAAGTAGGTATTTTCATTTAAATCGGCAAACTATGCAGATCCTCATAGCATTTATAATTTGTTGTACCTACATAGCTGTATATATTTGACAGTTACTCGTGTTCTTCTATGAATAGTTGATTATTTTATTAGGATCAAAAGTGACACTTTGTTTGACAACCGAATTTTGCATTTGCGAGGCGGAGCGTTTATAGCGGAGCCGAGCGAAAGCAAAATTTGCGAGTCGAACAAAGTCACTTTTGATCCGAATGAAACATGCTATTTTTTCTGCAACCGAAACAATTAACTCAAATAAACATGTGAAGTAACCACCAATGCTGTGCCATATGTATGCAATGCAAGCATTAACAGCAGGGTGTTCGAATTGTAGTTTCAATATAAATACAACCACAGAGTGACATATTTGTGTATGGACCATAGGTGCTCTAATGGCAAATACCGCGCCAGTGCCAGCTATAGGAACAAGACGTCGAAAATGTTAGGTTAGTGAGCATATCAACAATGATAATAGTGATTATTTATTCCTCTCCATACTACACTGTGTTTGACTTGATAATCAAATGAAGCTAAACAATATCGTTGTGTGAGGCAAGAAAACTATTGCTTGCCGTGATTATTCAAAAACAAGTTATCCATCCCGAGAATAACGAATGAAATACAGATCAAGCAAGTATTTGAATCTTGAAGGCATCCCTCCAAATAACCAACCGTCACAATGTTGTTTATTCTTGATGACGTCCAGTACATCCTTTTTAGTTCCTAGGAGCTAAAGTTCAACTTTAGCTCCTAGGAACTAAAATACAACTTTAGCTCCTAGGAACTAAATATGTTGCCTAGCAACATACCTATTTTTGTGTCAGTAATAGAAACGTCAATTTAAGAGCTAATTTTGGTATCAAAATGAAAGACTTTTGTGTCGGTTGCAGAAAAAATACATTGGGCCACTTCAAGTAAGGATGGTTTGTAGGTTCGTATTAGGGTGCCTGTCTGACTGATATCTGGTATTAGGCATAGACTAGATAGGATGAGTTATTGCACATATTTATATTAGTACGATTTAGCCCAAATTTGTTGTGGATACCTAGTGCAGCAGTACGTGTATTATGGTGCAAGTAAATGAAAAGTGGAAAATTTGTTTCCAAAGCATGGAATTCGCAATAATAGTTCACTATGCAAATCTCTGCTATGCATCATCTTGATGTGTGGATCGATATGAATGAAGAAGCTAGAAACTACCTACCACCTATATATATAGGCAAGCAGATATAGCGAGGTGTACCTACTATATATATAGGTAGTTGTTCATTTTATTCGATGGGCACTGAAAAATTTCATGATCATAATTGTAAAACATATATAAACCACTATCACAATTAATCATTAGGCACTTTTATAAGCATCCAAGTCACTGATTAGTCACTTCGCCTAGCCAGCGTAGCTCATACAAAATGATGGAAAGACAGGGGGGGCATGACACACCTTGATCAATATTAATTAGTAATTGGGTACTGGTAGATATTCGATTCGGTATACCAAGAGTCACTGGATGGTATTAATACCTACCTCCATGGACAATAATTATTTCAATTTCGATTATCGGTTAACTAGGTATGAGATAAATAATATTAACACAAAACTACAATTAGATATATATTTTTCTGAGAATTCGCCTATAGAAACGAGAATATTCACTCAATCCAAAATTCAAATAACGTCTATTTGCCCTATTCAAAATACCTATCTTAATCCTTATTAAAATTGTTATTTATCTTAAACTCCACCAATAAAATATGAAAACAGGTGAAATAGGCGTGGCCTTGATAACTGTGCAAATACTGTATACAGGTTTATTTCGTCCAGTAATCTCCATTCTTATCATAAATTTTAAAACTGATACCAGTTCGTATAATACTTCAGTTCAGCACTGCTTGCTAGCCATTCACATGCTTAAAATTAAAGAAATAAATGTTTCAGCTCACCTCGTCGTTCAACTGGCCCTTCGAAGCCATTTCACAAACAAATACTGAAAAGTAACAGTGTTGCCAGATCACTTGTCTTGTAACTTGCTCTCTCTAACCACAAAACCACTGACGGTCTCGCCGCCTTGCAGAAGTTGGAGACGATATCAAATCAATTATTATCGGTCAGTTATCGGTGAAGTCGTCGACGAGTGGGTATACTTTCTCATTTTTTTATCAGTAATAATTTGAGGTGTAGAAAACCTTACCTCACCTGAGGGCAGCTGCTTCGTTATTGAAAATTGACAAACCCTCATTTTTCAGATTTTTATTCTAGTACTGTACGTTCTAATACTAACCAAAACTCAAAATTTCTAGCTTTCTATACCTCCAGCGACTAAAAATTCAAATCTACCTGAAGCTCCTGAAAACTAGGAAAACTACCATCATTGGCAACACCGATGAGTAATGACTATATAATGACAATTGACATGTTTTTCAGTTTCAATAATTTAATTTGCAGCAGTTGGCAAGGGCACAGTAGCGGCAACACTCAAGAGTTGGCAACACTGACTACTGACCGTTGAGTTGAACCCATATATGTACAGTCGTCTTCAGAAAACATGTCGCACATGGACAATGATAGCAATCTTAATAGTTCCTGCAATAAGAGCGCTGACACCGTCCAACCGCGACATGATCTCTGAAGACGACTGTACTATTTCTATATATGGCCCATCGCCAATACGATATCTCAACAAAAATGGGACTAAAATGAAAGGTACTTTTTGAATCTATAAGGACGGAAATTGAAGGATGGAAACAGCCATATTGATTTGACAAGTTTCGTTTTATTTTTTCCCTACGTCGGCATCAACGCCTATTGGTCGATTTCATTACCTTTGGAAGTTGGTGCCGCTTTGAAGACAGCTATGCTTCATATATGAGTAGTAGATATATGGTCACTAATCTGTGATATGGTGTTGACGAGATCGAGAAACTAAAGCTTTCGAACCGTTCCCAAACATAATTGTCAGATTGGTCACGTCACAGTGAATCAAATGCTCCAGGGTCGGTCATTTCGGAACCCACCGAAATTCGTTCACCATCTCTATCTCTGTACATAAAGGTTTCCAATTTTGGTTGATCCAACAGGCCAACAAGAATGAACGCGTGGTTGTGGTTACATCAGACTGGAATCCATTAATTCCCACGTAATTCCAAAGAATGTATAAACGCTTTTGGTATTTTTGGTGGATGATATAATGGAGCTACGATGGAGCCATATATATATATATATAAACATCTGAGAACTATCGCACTATCGGATATATCGATAGTTCGATAGTTGCAAGTAAAAGTGTTGCAATCGATGTTCAAGCAACACTTGCCTTGTGCACTGTGTTGCTGGTTGCTGTTGACTTCTTTTTAGTCGACTTTACCCAAGTTTACCCTCGCGCGGTTTTGTTTTCAACGTTTTCTCAATCTTCTCACTTCTCAAAAACCACTCAGTCATTAAAAGATCTCAAAAGAATCTAAATATATAAGTTGTATTGCTTGGTCCACTGGATATAAGGGTCGTTTGTGGTTGTAGCCAGAACAGAATACCCTAGGACAAACCTCAGACAAACCTACGACCCTATTTTGTGGATTTGAATGAACCCTACCGGTGTTCTTAGCTCAGTGTCTTGATATATTTAGCGTCCACTATCCAGGGTCCAGTAATGGCCAAAACAGCCCCAAAGAGAAAAGCTGCAAATGGATACAAATTAGCTGAACCATTGCCTAAAGGTGAAATACTGCAAGACATTTCAAAAAAGCAATGGAAACTTGGTCCTTCTATTGGCCAAGGGGGATTTGGCGAGATCTATTCAGCCCAAGAAGTTGGTGCTGGTGGTTCCAAATACCCTTATGTTGTGAAAATTGTAAGTTTCATTTGATAAATACATAATGAAATACAGTTAATTCATTATACTTTTAGGAACCTCATGCAAATGGCCCTCTATTTGTGGAGATGCATTTTTACATGAGAATTGCCAAATATGAAGATGGTAGAATTTTGCAAATCAGTTATTTCCTCACTTATTAAATTGCATTATTTTCAGTTGAATCTTTCAAGAAAGAAAGGGGCCTGAAAACATTTGGCATGCCTCATTACCTGGGATCTGGTTCTCATGAATATAAGGAAGAGAAGTATCGTTTTATTGTGATGGAAAAATTTGGGACTGATCTATGGAAAATATTTCTTGAGAATAACAAAATTTTTCCTGCAACCACAGTTTTCAAAGTAGCTGTTCAAATTGTGAGTATGTGTTAAGCTGCCATGATGTTTTCCTATATAATGATGTTATAGTTAGATGTTTTGGAATATATTCATAAACGTGGTTATATACATGGTGATATCAAAGGTGCTAACATTCTCATGGGCACTACTAAGGAAACACAGAACAAACAAGTCTATTTAGTAGATTATGGATTAGCTTGCAAATATAATGGTGATACTGTATTCAAACCAGACCCAAAGAAAGCACACAATGGCACCATTGAGTACCTTAGTAGGGATGCACATCAAGGGGGTAATAAATAAAAATATTAGTTGTGACATATTTTACAAGCATAATTCTTTTAGTTCAGTCAAGGAGAGGAGACTTGGAAATTCTTGCATATAACATAATACAGTGGTTAGGCTGTACTTTACCTTGGGAAAAACATCTCAAAGATCCTAAAGTTGTTCAACAATCCAAGGAAGAATATATGACTAGTGTCCCTAAATTTATGAAGGCTTGTTTTGAGAAAAAATCACCACCAGGTAAAGATGCATCCTAATATAGCATTTTTTTATTCCTACTTTCTACCATCAGCTGTGAATGCTGTGATTGATATAAAAAATGTTCTTGGCCCTTATGCTTGTAGACATCACATTGAATAAGTAAAAATTCCAACACCTACCTCCTCTCCCTATCCTTTCTTGGTACTAATGATGTTCTCCATGTAGGAATTTCATTTCCTGTGCTCCAAGAGATGTAAAAAACAATATGGAACCAGTTATTTAAATGCAGAAATATTTGATTTTCTGTATGAAGAGTTTTGCACATTTTGAAATGAAAATAACAGACCAATAATTGATAACAATTGAAGGGGCAAGTGGAAGAAGGAGATATGTTACAAATATGATTTTGTGAGAAAAATAGGTTTTAGTAAAGTTAGCTGGCATTTTTTTACAGAAGCTAGTTTAATAATTGGATTTATGCACTAGCGGGCCGTAAAGTGCACTTTACCGCCCGGTTTTGCGGGCGTTGAGTCGCACTTTACCGCCCACGGGCTCATTATGGCCCACGGGCCGTAAAGTGCACTTTACCGCCCGCTGTTCTCAGTCACCTTATATCCGCATATCAATTCATGAAAAACCTATGATCATATTCCTAGATTCTAATATATCCAGCGGTATATCATAAACTTCTTCTTTATCCGATTCCATAGTCTCACTATTATTATTATCACTAATTTTACTTTTCAGTCAAAGAATGACAATTCAGCTCGTTTATTGAATGTATTGCTATAGACAACAACCATCAGATTGATTGACAACGTCAAAATAAGTTAGGTTTATATACTGGGTATGCATATTGTAAAATTCTGAAGAATAAATCTCTTCTATAGCTGAAAGAGTTTTACTATTACGATAATTGCAATATTCGTACGATAATTTCCATATGTAAATCATCCATGAACATTACGCTTCTCTTGATTACTGTATTAATACGTAACAAATTAAATTCTGGGGAATATTAGTTTATCGAAATCTATAGTCATTACTTATGAGTCAGAAAATAAACCACTAGTGCATAAAATTTTGTATGTATCTCGTGCGTGAAATGCGTTTATGGCCTTCAGCGTGTAATGGCCCTCGGCTAGCGCCATCGGGCCATTATTCACGCCACAGGCCATAAACGCCTACTTTACGCCCTTGATACATAAATAACTATTATGCAATTGTGAGGAATAGTTTCAGGTTGATTTTTTATGATTCACAGCATTTTGTTATCATATCATTTTTTAATAGACATGTGGATTTTTGCATACATAACCCCTTCTTCCATTTCCTGACATGTAGGCAATGGGCACATAGCTCCTTTTTCCTTTGCATCCTTGATGTTACACTAAACATCCGCCCCTTTTACCACTGTGTATCTGCTCAGATATGAAGAATATAAACAAATCCTTACAAGAAAAGTTACACATGCACATAACACCTTCCATGACATTACCGAATATTTTCAGAAAATGTTACTTGACCCCTTCTTCTACTTGCCCCTTCAATTATATGAGAGCATTTTGCCCTTAAGTGGTAACAACTTTTTTTTTCAATATAGTAGGTACTCCACACTGGTAGGTATGCAATATTTTGTCTTCTCTATAGCCTACTGATAAGGAGAGCCTAATAGGATTTCTAAGGTACTACTTAAAACAGAAATTTAGCGAAAACCATGAGAGTAATCGGGTCTTATCAGGAGTACTTTCTTTAAAGTAAATGAGTTGCGCAATCTAAATTTCATACTAAAACTCCTTTTATTCCATTGGCGTAGAATTGTTAAAGGTGCAATTATTAAAAAAAAAAACAAGTTCTACGCCTATGGATTAATATCGGACAAAATTTTAACACCATTTTTTTGCCACATGAAACTCTATCAATATACCAAATTTCAGTAAAATCACATATGTCGTTTTAAATTTATATTGGAAAAACAATTTAAAAATTGTAACTTCAAGGCCCTCTGGAGCCCAAACGATGCAACTTTGTTCTAAGGTAATTTTACTTAAATCGACTTATTTTGGTCTAAGGAATATGTGATATGTTTCTGTAGAGACCTTTTACAGACACCCTGTATATGGTATATGGTAATTTGCTTTAGACAATATTGGAGTTTTATTTGTCATAGCATTGTGGATCTAAATGAAAACCTAGTAGGCGACCTAGTAAGCGAGGAGGTACAACTTGACTAGTAACTACCTAACTAGGTTGTCATCTAGAATGACAATGGTCATTGTTTCTGTCATAGTAATATGGCATGAAATAAATAATTTTTCCACTTGAAGTGAAACACACTGTGAGTACTTGCTCATTTCAGGACCAGTAGTAGATTTTTTGAACTATCACTCTACATTGAAACATGATTCAGTACCAGACTACAAGAATATCAGGAAAATATTCCTATCTGGATTGGAAAAAGGAGATGCACTAGGGAAACCACTTCACTTTTCACCATCAAAGAAGACTCCAATGAAACGTAAAATGGAAGGAAGTTCTCCACTACCTAAGCAAAAAAAAGGTAGAAAAAAAATAGAGGAACCATCTGAGGATGAAAGAGAAACTTCAGATGATGAGGAAATGCAAGTAACTCCACAAACAAGAAAGAAGGTTGGAAAACAGACCTCACCCAAAAGGAAACGTGAAAAGAAGAAATTACTGGATGAACTTTCAGAAGATGAGAAAGAGAACATAGTAGATGATGAGCCAATAGAAGAAACACATTTGTCGAATGATGAAATTGCTGATTCACCACCAAAAAGAGGAAGGGGCAAAGTAGTAAAACAATCCACCCAAAAAAGAAAAGCCATAATTCAAAAAGATGCTGAAGAACCACCCGAAGATAGACATGAAGAAGGTTCACCAATCCAAGATGATGTTCCAGATAGGGAAAGTGAAGAATTCCCTAGAACACCTACAAGGAGAGGTAGAGCCAGAATAAATTACAAGGAAGATTCAGAGGATGAAAAAAAATCAAGGAAACGACCTACCAAAAAGACTGCCAGTACCAAAGAAGTCCATGTGACAGGCGATAGTACCCACAGGTACAATGATGCCATGAAGGAAGTAGTGAGAAAGAAGATGCAAAATGGAAATTTGAAGAGCAAGAAAGAACCCCCAGTGGAACATGATGATGATGATGATATGGTGGGTTACACTGATAGTATGAAGGAAATTGCAATGAAGAAAAAGAAGAAAGTTGTTGGGAAAAGGGGAAGAAAAGCCAATTTAGCACCTGTTGCTTCTACTAGTTCCTATACTGGACCTGCAATAGCTAAGAATGGTATTGTTAAGGTCATTTCACGACAAGATGTCATTAAGAATGTTCAGTCGGACTCTGAATGAAATGTTTTTGTATGTATTCATATTCATAATTTCTTGATCAGCATGAATGTCTTTGGGCACACTTTTTGTGCTGTTTGTTAAACAAAGTATTATTTTGTCTACATATGCATTCTCCTGATAATAATGTACTTCATTTTAAACTTGTTTATTATCTTAGGATTTGAGTTGTTTTAAGAATAAAATGTTTTTTTTTATATTTTGTTTCTTTCTTTTATCAAACATTTTATCTGATTGAATATTTTTTCCAATAAAGATGAATACCTATTTCACATATACTACGGCCACTATGGAAAGTAGGCAAGAACACTAGGGATACAGCCTCAGTAAGTAGCTCCTTATGCACAGTAAAAACATCGCACAGTTTTCGTTTATTCCGCTAGTCATGATCGCGTAATCGTCAACAACGGATGACATAACTGTCAAGACTTATAATTCAGACTATTTGTCCAATCTTTTTTGGCAGTAGTTAAAGTATAATACGTAATGCGTATTGTGAAGCAATAGGCCTTTTCATTCAGATGACAAATGACTCTCTGTTTACATCTAGCATCCAACGACAGTGGCGGCCATTTTCACCGAAACACTTACACCACAGTACCACACTCCTCAGTAACGAATAAGTAACGTTTCTTGGAATTGAATTATTATAATACAATTAATACTCACCAGGAATATAAAAACAAAAATACTATGTTGTTATTGTTGTTTCTCAATGATGAAATGAATACCCAATACACACGGTGGTTGACATTTGACAGAACGTCAATAATACCCGCCTTCACCTTCGCATTACCCAATGAGTTTTTGGATCTACAAACGAGCGCATGCGCCTTAAAAATATATCTAGATGAAAAGGCCTATTACGCACTCGTTACAAGCCTAACTTTTCCATTCGTGCGTAATATGCTCCTTACAACACATATTACGTAATATACCATTGGTACCTAGTGGCAAACTTTAGGGAATTAGTAGAATGAACCAATTAAGTAAATAGTGTCAAAATCAACTTCGACCTTATGAGGGAACAAAATGGAATGTGAAAAAATATTCCTTCAAATATCTTATAAACATTCCTTGCTATTTACCTGAATAAAATATCAAAATTATTATAAGAAAGGACATATTTATGAGTTTTAATTATCACTCTGGAATTATGCCCAGATCCCAGATGCATTTTCTTTTCCATTATTTCTGCTTCCTATCAATTTTGTGAATTTTTGAATAACATGCTTTCTATCTCATAGTTACTCATTATACACCAGTCTCTTCATTTATCCTCAGACATGATAGTCAACAGGGGTCAGGTTCCCCATCTTTCAAGAAATTGATAATTAATTATATAACATTCAAAAGCATTTCATCCAAATTATAAGGTAAAATAATCATGGATAATTTTCTGTTTCAAAAATCAAATATAAATTAACGTGTGGGAAAGTATGATAGTCAGTTTTGAAGGGTCCATATATTTTTTGTCACAATTCAAATGACAAAATTTATCTAGAATTTTCAATGAATGATTTTCTGGTTATTATCTTTGAATGTAAGAGGACAGATATATCATATGCCAAAACAACGGATGTCCTGCCCATTATGCACTAACTGTCAGAGACGTCCTAAATATCAAATGCCCTGGAGGATGGATAGGGCGAAATTAATTATTATTATCATTATAGCCTGCTAGATGACCTGACCCCTGTCGATTATCAAATTATATTTAAAAATATGTTGAAATGTGGAATTTTTTGCAACCTATTATCCAATTCAACATAAAGTCTGCATCTGTTGTAAAAACAATCAAGAGAGCCAAGACCAAGAAAGTTTTCAAAGATATTTGAAGGGATATGTTATTCAAATTTTTCATTTAATTCCATCAGAAGGTCGACGTCGACGAAGTTGGTTATTACAATAATTAGTTTTTAAACTTTAACTGAAGTATTCATTTTTTCAAATCTATTTATTAATGAAATACATATTCAATTTCATGAAAAAATACTTTGATCAAAACTTATATGGTCACCTTTGGCAAAATCAGAAAAAGGCAGCGAAATCTCGAAATGCGCACCACTCAGTTAAAAGACAGAAATTTCGGTACAATTTTGATTAATAGCTATTTATATATCACGGGAGGAAAGGTGTCCATTTCCTCCCACGTGTGAAGTTGGATGCACGACGCATAGCGGAGGGTATTAAAAACACATGGGAGAAAATGAATCTTTGCTTCCATGATATATAGGGTGAGTCAATAGTGTGTTCTCCTTCGATATTAGCCAAACCGTCAGGTATATAAAACAAAAAAACGGATACAACAGTTATTGAATTCATTTCATATCTAGGATGTTCGAATTCCAAGATATGGGCTGATGATGGGTGTTTTTGGATGGGACACCCTGTGTATATTATAGCATTTTTAAATTTTTCCTGAAGAGCTGATTTCATCAATGCATCACACTTGGGGTCTAGAGTAAATGATTACAGGGTGTTATCATCAGAATCGAAAATTTTCAAATTTTGGGTTTTTCTTGTGTCAGATGCTGAAACAAAAGTTGAGATAGGGACATGTGAGCCGTTTCGACCAATGATAAATAGTTTTAACACAAATAAATCACAAAGTTGAAAAGTATATCTCTGTGAACATTTTGAGCTAGTCCCCAGGTGCGATTGATGAAATTAGCGTTTAAGGAAGAATCTGAAAGTGTAATAATATACAGGGTGTCCTCATTTGAAAACACCCATCATCAACCGATATCTTGGAATTCGAACACCTTATAGATATGAAAATAATTTTAGGTGATAGTTTCCAATAAACCCTATAACTGTTTCTTTTCGAATTTTTTTTATATATCTGACGGTTTGGCAAATATAGGAGAACACACTATTGACTCACCTTATACAGGGTCGCTGATATGTATGGAAACAGGTGAATATCTCGGCAATCTGTTGTTAGATTTTTTTTGAATTTATGTACAGTGTGATTTCAAAACGTGGCGGATTTCAAAACGTGGCGGATTTGAAAATGTTATAGCCTCTGTTGCCACTTTTTCAGTTATTCCGGATTTTTATAGTAACTTCCTTATTTTGAATGAAAAACCCTGTACTTTATTGGATTTCCAGATTCTCCTTGAAGAGCTGATTCCATCGATCTATCACACTTGGGGTCGAGCGGGAATGATTACATAGGTATAGGTTTTTCAACTTCAAGATTTTTTTGTGTAGAAACTATCCATTATCGATCAAAACCGCTTCAATGTTCCTATCTTCACTTTTGATTTACCATCTACTGACTATTTAATTGGAACAGATACAGAGGGTGATCAGAATTCTGAATCTTGAACCACCCTGTATTTGTTTCAATTAAATGTCAGTAGATAGTAAATCAGAAGTAAAGATGGGAACATTGGAGCGGTTTTGATCGATAATGAATAGTTTCGACACAAAAAAATACTAAAGTTGAAAAATCTAGATTTTAAACACCCTATACCTATGTATTCATTCCTGCTAGACCCCAAGTGTGATAGATCGATGGAATTAGCTCTTCAGGGAGAATCTGAAAATCCAATAAATTACAGGGTGTTCTATTCAAAATAAGGAAGTTAATAAAAAATCCGGTATAACTGAAAAAGTGGCAACATTCGCTATAACATTTTCAAATCTGCCACGTTTTGAAATCACACAGTACATAAATTCAAAAAAATCCAACAACAGGTTACCGAGATATTCACCTGTTTCCATACATATCAGCGACCCTGTATATATGACTTTCATCAACGAATGCATTTTTTGTGCATCATCCATGAAATTGTGCTTCATATCTTCTATCTCTCGATCCAAATCTTTATGCATTACAAACATAGTATGGACAATTGAAGGCATTTGAAAGAAAGTCAATTTTACAGTTCTGTCACCATAAATGAATTGATTGATTTGAAAGTTTTGAATAGAACGTATATGAAGAAGCGTATTTGATATCATTGGAATTCGAATTATTATTATTTGTTTTTTAATAGTGATAAAGACACTGATTACTTGGACTGCACAGATTTTAGAGGTATATATAGCTTCAAATTTATTTTACCTCCCACGGGAGTTAATATTCTTTCTTCTTTCGATCAAGTGAGAATAAAAAAAAATTCCACATGTATGATATTTATTAAATACATCAGGGGTAGTTAATAATAATTAGAAACGGCAAAAGTTGTTTTGACATCAAGCTATAGTCAAGCAAATGTGTTACATAGCACTATATCCTAAATTTCTACACTTACATCATATCCTCCATATTATATACATATCTCTAATATTCAGAAAGTGTAATTATAGCACATCATTTCATTAATACATTATTTTTGGCATATAAAATATTTCCATCTTTCAAGCTATCTAGTTTTCTATAAAAGTTCTTCAGTAAATTTTGTATAATTTGTAAAACTATAACTATGTCAAAAATGCTAAAACTGTGCATCAAAACTCATGAAAAATTTCATCAATCACAACAACTAAGATTTATAAAACCATTCAACAAAAGTCAGATCTTCATTCAGCAACAGTGAAGTAGAAAATTTCATCATAGCGAAACAAGATAAACAGAAAAATTTATGTTTTAACATTTTTATTTAATAATTTAATTCATTATCTTACAACTATAAAACATCAAAATCAGAATATATACAGTTAAAAAACTAACAACCATCACAAAACAGCATCAAAATTCAGAAAAATAAACGGTTTCTGATGTTTCAAGCTGACTAGGAAAAAATCAGATAGTTTACCTGACAAATTACAAAACCTATGTTGTATATCTCTATTAACATTAATTCCTTCCTTGGCTCCCCACTAATCAATAATATCCATCAAAGTTTATAAAATAAATTCATCAATGCATTTTTTCTGTGACAGTTTCATTTCAAAATATCAAATAACTAATAATGTGCTTTAAATTTTTTTCATCCAATACAAAATGTTGCATAATAAGATGCACTATCGGTAACGCTGATCCAAATCAAGTGTCTCACATTGGTGATTTAGTTATTAACAAAATCCAACTTTCTTCTTATCAAGTAAGCAAAGTAGCAGTATTAATGAGTTGATTCAAATGAAAATTTGGCGCTGAATTTTCGGTATGTGCAGATTACATGATATCAAAGTATAATAACATTGCAAAATTTTGTTGCCATCAAAAATTAGAAGAAAGAGTTTACAAAATCAAAAATGAAGGACGAATCAAGCATATATAAAATAATAATTGAGACTTCGGGAATTATCGACGATGTCACAGTCGGTAGGTTTGAACCTACAGGTGAAATTCCATCATTTTGACAAAGGCCAAATTATTTGCAACATGTATATGGGAGCACAAAAAGTACATAAAACATCGAGGCAATATTTCCTCATGAATACCAAGCTTTCCAGCTCACCGAGTATAAGAAGAACATGGTTTTTTGGAAATTAAAAAACAACTCTGAATGAGATTCAAACTTTTCAATATGTTCTGAGAGTAAGTATGTCAGGAAAATATGGCTTTTGAATAATACACTGGCAACGAGACGATAAACGCCCAATCCAATTTGATCTATAAAAGAAAATATCGCGGATTGAGCAGAGTACAACGAGAAAAAAAATCATCCAGGCCAGTGGATTGACAGATACGAAATGTAAACATAAATAAATGTGATGAAGACATAACAAAAAACCTCAGGCGTTGCTAATCCTATACAAGAAAACAGCGTTAAAAACTTTGTTACAACTTAATACCTACTCCTCCAAAAAAAAAATACAAAATAAATATAACCTCAAAGGGGTAAACGAAGTAAATACAGACTGCTGCAAATTCACATATCACTAGCTAGGAAGCATGGAAGGTGGCCACCAACTTGCCATCAAAAATCCCCAATTATCTTGTATTTTTCATATGTTGGAAATTCTTTTTCATCCAACTTTAATTCCTGAATATATTCTGGCTACGTTTTTTTTAACTCAATCACTATCAGTACAGGGTGATTCACCATAAATGTCCCCCCTCTAGCTCAGTTATTTTTAAACCGATTTCGAAATTTGAAATATCATCTCAAATGATTTTCGATAAAGTTTTTTTTTCGCTACATCAGAAAATACAGGGTGCTCGGAACAAACCATCTACAGGGTACTATTTGATTTTTTTATATGGACCACCCTATTTTTCATTAAATTTTTAGATTCTCCCTGAAGAGCTGATTTGATCAATGCATCACACTTGGGGTCTAGCGGGAATGATTACAGAGGTATAGGGTGTTCAAAATCGAGATTTTCCAACTTTAGGAATTTTTTGAGACGAAACTATTCATTATCGGTCAAAACGGCTTTCATGTCCGTATCATAACTTTTGATTTACTATCTATTGACATTTAATAATTGGAACAGATACAGGGTGATCAGAATTCTGAATCTTGAACCACCCTGTAAATGTTCCAATTAAATGTCAGTAGACAGTAAATCAAAAGTTAAGATGAGGACATAGAAGCCGTTTTGACCAATAATGAATAGTTTCGACAGAAAAAAATCCTAAAGTTGAAAAATCTCGATTTTGAACACCCTATATCTCTATAATCGTTCCCGCTAGACCCCAAGTGTGATATATTGATGGAATCAGCTCTTCAGGAAGAATATAGAAATACAATGAAATACAGCGTGTTCTATTTGAAAAAATCAAGTAGTACTCTGTAGATCGTTTGTTCCGAGCACCCTGTATTATCTGATGCAACAGAAAAAAAAATTCTGAGAAATCATTTCAGATTATTTTTCGAATTTTCAAATCGGTTCGAAAATAAGTGAGCAAGAGGGGGGGACATTTATGGTGAATCACCCTGTATAATTCGACCCTGGATTATTGTTTAACTTTCTGATGTACCTAATGAGGTTAATTTTCATTCAAAGAAGACTTTTCGACTTTATTATACTTGTACAGTTCCGCAACATTGAATATTCAATGATTATCTTTATGCACGACCAGGCGTTAAGTAATACTTTAGCGCCCTAGGGCGATAAAGTAGATGACCGGCCGTAAAAAAATTTCACTGATTTTTCAGTAATTTCTAGTGGACTATCATGTGTTCTTTCTTCGCCAGTGGAATCCATAATTTGGCTCAATGTATTCAAAATCATTCGCAATCGCTCGAGCGATGCGGTTCATAAAAGTCTATTTTACGTCTTTGATACATAAATAACTATTCTCCAATTATGGAAAAACGACAATTCTTTTTTATTTCCTCATATTGTTGGCTACTCTAATTTTCAACATTGTCTGCATTCGAAAGTAGAGGGATGTGAATTTGTAACAGCCTGCATACAGTGTGTTTTGAAATAATGCTGAATGTGTTTTTATAACTTTGTTATGAATATAAAATATAGAAAGTTAGTTAAATGGCCAATGTTTGGAAATTTTTATGACAAATCTAATGATTTTCTAGATACACTTTTTCATGCTCATCAAGATAGTGATAAAATAAATCAAATTGCACCTTCAGTTCCCGAGATTGGTACAATCTTTGAATCTCATATACAGTATGATCAGAATTCGATGCTCCTTACTATTGTAACAAGCACCGAATATGTTTTAACAAAACATTTTGGCCTAAATATAACAGGTGCATCCAATTCAATCTCCATAAAAATGGCTTCCTCGCTGTGAAAATGTATGGAAATAATTATTTCAATGAAATTACTTATTACTGTTAATCATTCACATATTGTATCCATCAATAAATTTACTTGAAGAACTGACATTGTACAATTTTTTTGAGATATAATAGTGCTAGTGAGTTAACATGTATTTGATCAGTATTTCAAACGAACGCTTGTTAACTGATTCAATTCAGTTCTAGTAAAATATTTCAGTAGGTCAGATTGAAAGATTATCACTAATTTAGACAGGTCACTGTATATTATATCAACACATCAAACATTATATAGAATATGTTCATGTCAGTTTCTCATGTAAAACTATCAATTAGTAAATTCTTCCGTGTTGAAGGAAAATGTATTGAATGAAAAAGAGCTCGTGTGTTTTCCATGTTGATATTGTTGATAACTTCATGTCATGTTTCTAAATATTAGAAACGAAAAAAGAATTTTACTATGGCATGTCCGATGTACAGTGTGTCCAGTTTTCGATGCTTAGGGGGGTTATCTCAGTTATCTTTGGGGATAGAGTGTTGCGGTATTTGAGCACAAAAAAAATGTTTTTGCTCCATTCTCCAAAAATCAGCGATAACACCAATAAAATAAGTACGCCACTGTATTATACATAGAAAGTTATATGCGGCCCCGATCTCATCCTGCCGATGAAATGAAAAGTGGCCAAGATCAGGAGGTGCTCAAAAAGTGAGAATTTTCAACTTTGCGTTGTATCTCAAAAACATGACGGATAATAAAAATTCTCTTCCCGGCATTATTTGTTGCACAAAAAAGTTAGGCAGTAATGTGGAAACCGCGACATTCTATCTCTAAAGATAACTGAGATATCGCGCAAAAGCATCGAAAACTGGACACACTGCTGTACATCTTGAATAAAATATCATTTGATTTCGTTCTTTCTTCACCACGTTTTTGTTAGCCGTTTTTTTTTGGTGAGTTTGTTCCCTAAAAATTTGGTTATCAAATTCATTTCGTTAAATTCGGTTGACATGAAAAAAAAGTATCAGCCTGACCCATCACTGGAAAGAGGAAAAAAGCTCTTTTCAATGAAATGAACAACCAATATGGGGACCATAGGAAATTCAAGAAGTGAACAAAAAATCAGGAACAATAAGGATGCTGTTTGTTTTCATTTATCACCATGTAATAGGTGTGTCAAACCTCTAAAACTACACAGGACCACACTATTAATTCGACAATATTGCAAATACCAATGAAATATTTTCGACAAATAGGTTTGTCATAAAATGATTCAGAACATTATGCATTCAACAAGCTTTTCATTTTGAATTTTTTAAAAGATATTTCAAAAAGAAAGAAGAACATGAGTTAAATCAAGAAATTATGTTATTTTTGATGATTTGAAAAAATAACCAGTATAGAAATGATTATACCCCAATTGATACTCAATATTGGCACCTCAAAGACAAACTCTATTATACTTGTTATTATTTATTCCTAAACTTCTTTGACAGATTGAACTAACTTTTCCCTTTTCTTTCGAGAAGTAATAAAATTCGCCCTAATTCTGTTTTTCAATTTTTACCTCTACTGTCATAAATACAAGTTATAGAGGGTGGCACTTTGAAACGTGTCACCCACACATGCAGCATAAACCTAGAACACACTGTGAAATAAAAAAGCGTTAATGTCAACAATATTTAGTGATATTACTTACGCACAGCCTACAGCCGTACCAATGGAATCACACACCTTCCGACCCTACAATATTTTTGTTCGTGTACTAGCTACAGTTGTCCTTCAGGCTGAGGCCTTATTTTTGAATCGAGGGAGCTGCGAGAAAAAGGTGAAATGGCTCACTTTAGAAAAAAAAATCGTTTCCCGCTGCTTCTCCCGATAGAAAATTCGCAAAAACTCGATGACCTTTTTTATCAACTCTTTTCCTTGTCTTCAATTTCATTCTTACTGTGTGCAGGGACGCGCCAACTAAATGGCGAATGTGGGCAAAATCTATGGGCGGAAAAATCTAAGGGCGACAATTCGGTTAAATGACCCGTACTAATGACCTCTTCTTTCTAATGTGGAGCGTCGGTGTAACCTAAAATTCCACCTCAACAGTAACCTGAAGTACAACGGAATCAGCGTTACCTTAAGTATGAGCAACAGTTACTAAAAGTGTAACAAACTGTTACCTAAAATGTTATCTCGGATGTCTACTCAAATAATAATAACCCACGACTATCTAGTGCAGTGGCGGCTCCTCAGAGGAGGCAACGGAGGCTGAGCCTCCTCAGAGATTTTCCTTAAACTGATATTATCTATACTTTTTCATTAAAAGGACACCAAAATACATGGATTTTGATTTTATTTCCTGTTTTTAGGTGAATATTTTTGAATTGGCAACAGTGCTTGCCCACGCATCACACGTTGATGTCTGCAAATCACGCGTAAAATATTCAACTTGGCAACATCTATAGGAGGCTAGACTCCTTCTCATTACGCAACCCACGCGCGCAATGTAAATGCCCGGATACGCCTGAATAGCACGTGTTTGTCGTGTCGCGCCGCGAATTGCGGAAAATCCATCGTGAGTGCATTGTTTATGTTAGGTTAATGGTTAGGTGCTCTATAAATTTCTGAAAAATGAGTGTTTTAAACGATTGCGATTTAGTGAAATACTTTTCGGTAAACCCATTCAGTGCTTTGTCTTATGAAGATAAATGGATTGTGAAAAACAAACGTCCGACACCGGAATTATAAAATCTGATTGTAACAAACAAAATCGTTCGTTCAATTCTGATAATCATAAAAAATATATCTGGTTGACGGGATCTGAGGTAAGTAAGCTATTTTGTTGGTACTGCGTATCATTTTCAACCGATAAGTCATCATGTTGGGGGCGATTAGGATATATTGATTTGAAAAATTTGCCTCGCGGATTGGATAGACACTGCAAATCACAGGAACACATCTCTTCAAGTATTAAGTTCAGGTTAACTGGTAAACAGAATGTCATTGAAGCTATTGATTTGGGTGAGTAGAGAGTTGTTTTTCACAATAAATCTCATATCATTCAGCCTCCTCTGTCATGGAAGTCACGAGCTGCCACTGATCTAGTGACAGGTGGGCATTCGCCGATTTTTCAATGCAAGATAGTACTCAAGGGCGCCAGATAGATTTACCAATAGATTGATTGATTGATTGTCTTTATTACCCCAAGAAACATTACTGTTTATGATAGGAATACATAAACACATATACAAATAATAATAATAATAATAAAGGGTTAACTTATGAATTCCACTCAGTGGAAACGAATTAACATTGTTCCCTAAGATTGAAGTTATAGTGGAAGGAGAAGATGGTGTGCCTACGCGCATATTATGTGACGTCATCTGTGATCCCAATATCAGCTGCTAGTGAAAGACAGATACCGTTGCCTTTTTACCGTTTCTCCATCTGTCTAGAAATAATTCAATTTATATAAATAGGTACCTATTCCTTTTACTATTCCATTGATTCTGGAATTTGTGATCCACCACTGTGTTGATTAATTCAGCAGTTAACGGCGTTGACGTCGCTTCTGCTTTGGCATCGACAACAGGAGTATCATTTTTTTGCCGTTTTGTTATTAAAATCTTTGCTGCAATTTATCAATCATTTTCAATTATTTCTAACCTAATATGTGACGGAAGACGTTCTGTAGGAATGGCATGTTATATCAAATATTTGTGATTTTTTGGAGGTGTGTAATTCAACAACTGTACTTCCAAACTTGTTCGAGAACATTTTGCCAAATGTGAATACTTTGGAATCAGGATATAAGGAATATACTCAAGGTAGGTACCATTATTTGAATTTTTTTCGGTCAGCAGCAAGCTTCCACCCATCGTTTCATTATTCCTCCATTCTTGGAAAAACATAAAAATTCAATATTTGTGCCTTTTGTATATTAGTTGGAATTTCCATGACCAGCAACGAAACAAGTGGGCATTTCGAAATCATTTCATTCAATTTTAGAGCATATATAATATCTGAAGTTTGGGACATCGATCACGAAAAAAATAATAACAATGGCAGTTATATCCCAATTGACGTCATGCGCAGAAAAAGACGAGTTTGAGCTTTCTGAGAGTAGAATCAAAACCAAGTGTAGGAGGGAAAATTATGTTCAATATTCAGAAAGTTGAATAGGTACTCATATCGGAAATCGGAACAGAATTATATCATTGAATCATTGAACAAAAAAAATTAACAAATGGAATGGAGCCATGTCCCAACCTTTTACAGACACCTTGTATATTCTCTAAACTGTGGTATTCTCTCATAATCGACCGAAAAAAGCAGTGGAAAGTAAAATCGCAAACATTTTACACCCAGCATACCCTCGAGGCAATCGCTCTCTCGATTAAAAAATAAGGCCCCAGCCCGCACAACCGACGGAATCACACACCTCCCGATCCTACGATCTGTTGTCGTTGTTGTTCGTGTACTAGCTGCCGTTGTTGTTGTTCTTCGGACTAGTGGGCACCGAGGCGACCGTCTCCGATCGGCTGATGTACAGCCGCAGCAGCTTCACCTTGCTGCCGGGCAGGTGGCTGATGTGCGTCGTCAATCGCTCTTCGCCTACGGCCTTGTACAAGGCCACCATGCAGAATATCGAGCTTTTCCTCACGGGGCTTTCTTGATGGTCTGTCGCCTGCGAATACGAACGAATTTTAATGCTTCTAAAGGCTGTATGTATGTATGTATGTTTTTATGTGTCATACAGTGAAAAAGGTGTTGATTTTGCGCAGATTTGCAAACATTCTTGTAAAAATATAGGACTGGTTCCAAATATTTTGATATTATAAATATTTATGTACTGTATGGCACAGAAAATATTTTTGTTATCATATTTGTCATGAAATTCAACAGGTGTCATACAGCATTTAAACAAGTTACGTCAGCTTCCATACACAACAGAATACTAGGGTCCCTTGATGTAAATTGACGTATTTGTCATCTCAACAGGGTACGGACAGATCCTCGTCTCCTCTCACTCTAAAGTGTTTGTGAAACTATTTTTTAGTTCCATCATTATTCATTTCTGGGGATAAACACTAGATTTCTGGCATTTGTTGTTCTTTAGGTTATATTGAAGACATTGGCGTATCATACGTAATTTCCAAATACAATTTTTCATTCAACTCTACATATTTTATACAAATGATGATGAAAATTTTCGAGTTTTGATTTTTCAACCCCAGCATAATCTTTGTGAGGCAGTGAGCAAATTTTTCTGAAAGTTTAATACGTTTTTCCAAATGGCACTGTTCTTAGACAGTACCTATCAATCAATACATTTTGATTTCAGACTGTCTTATGGTTGAGAAATGGTGAAAAATGTAGGTATGTCATGATCGCGTAATCGCCGTCAACAGCGGATGACATAACTGTCAAGAATTATAATTCAGACTGTTTGCCCAAACTTTTTTGATGTTCTATAATGCGTGTTGTAAAGCAAATATACACACTCATGGTAACTTTTCCATTTGTGCGTAATAGGCTTCCTACAACACATATTACGTAATATACTATTATATGATCTCCAATCTAGTATTGAGGATACCAAAAGACATTTGCTAAATACAAAGGAGTTGAATAAGGTTTTCATGGCATGAGTGGAGGTGAAGTTTTTACAATGTCTAAGAATAAATCCTAATGTTCTATTACATTTTGATACAACATAGTTATTGCCTATTGCCAGGAGTTTCATTCTTTCATAGATTGATATTCAAATGGAGACATTCAAATGGGACTCACATTGACCAGTCCAGTCATGATTTTGGTCAGATGATCGTCGGTGACCTCGTTGGGATTCGCCTCGATCAGCTTGGTGAGCATCTTGATGGCCCCCAAAAGGGCCGGATAGGGACTCGTCCTGATGAAGGGGGCGAGGGTGGCGACCACCGTCTCGAACGGACAGACGACCATCGCGGCGGCGGTCGCTTCGGCCTCCTTCATAACCTGGATTCATATATACAGTGTGACCCACTTCTAATGGAAACACCCCTGTATCTCAAGTGTGGAATGAATTGGGGACTAAGGCAGCCCGAGTAGCCTATTATGCGCTTGTCGAGTCTCACTTGAGATATGGTTTGCCTTTTTGGGGAGCATGTAGTGAATATCAATTCAAGGCAGTGTTCATCATTCAAAAAAAAGCATTGAGATATTTATGTAAGGCAAAATTAAATGATTCCTGCAAGTCAATGTTTGTGGAACAGAGAATCATGACGTTACCTGCTCTATTCATTTTGGAAACTGTTTGTTTAATTCACAAGAAACGGCAGAAATTGGCTAATAAAAATGTGAAACATCAATATAATACAAGGACACATACTTATAATATCAGACTACCCATACCAAATTCGACTCTTGTAAAAAAACTCCTTTGTTTATAATGGGCTCAAGTTATTTAATCACCTACCTGATGTGATCAAGGGCATTTCACTACATTGCAGATTCAAAAAAACTAAAAAAAATACTGATCAAAAAGGCACATTATGCCGTTGACCAATTCCTAGCAGATACTACTTTCTAAGTTGTTTATTTTCCAACTGACTTTATTGATCCCCACAAGCAGGCTCTGCCTCGACATAATTTAAGCTTTAAATTTATTGTCTAGTGTTTGTTTCTTGTTAGTTTATTATTTGTAATGTTGTCTTCATTTATCAACGTATAAGTACTTGTAACTTAGTAATGACTCATATTTAAATTATTCGATATTTTTCCATATTTTACATTTTGATCGTCCATGCTTTGTTACGAGAATCTCATTCTTAAACAATATAGTGTTTTTTTTTATTTATTTATTTATTTATTTATTTATTGAACAAATAACTTCCAGACAGAATAGGCTCTGGTATAAGGAAGTACATAATTATATACCTATAGGTAAACATAGCATCATTCAAAATATATGAACAACTGTAAATTGGCAAACAAAGAATAATATTTGTAAATGAAAAAAAAAAAAAAATGGCATGATTAATTTTATCCAGTCCGCTGAGAAATAATCAGTTTTTTTACTTCATTTTTGAATATACCTATATTTCTGAAATTTTTTATATTATCAGGTAGTTTATTGAATTCAGTTAAGGCTGAATGAGTGAATCTTTTTTGTCCGATTAGGTAAGGATTTGCTAGAGCGAGAGATATACCAAAAATGCAGTTTATGACCAAGTGCGGTCATCTTCAGTGATATACACTGCTCGCCAACAGCCATAGAACCATCCCAATTTCCGGAAAATTATATTTGGAGTCAAAATAGGTCGGAAATCACTTCAAATTCGGAATCAGGACGCCTAATTCACCAACTATTCATATTTTTCCTGGAAAATTTTCAGTCCTAAAAAATTAATTTTTGTCGCACTTTTTACGGAAGCACCCCCGTATCTTACGCAATTGACTTTATCTTTGGACTTTTTCTTCCTCCTGCAAATTTCAGAACCCTACCTCAATAATTACGTGAGATACGGGGGGTGCTTCCATGAGAAGTAAGAAAAAATTCAATTTTTCTGAACTGAAAATTTACTAGAAAAACTATGAATAGTTAGTGAATTGGGCATCCTAATTCCGAATCCGAAGTGATTTTCAACCTATTTTGACTCTTAATATGATTTTCCGGAAATTGGGGAGGTTCCATGGCTGTTAAAGCAGTGTATATCACTGAAGATGACCCCACTTGATCAGAGTGCATTTTTGTCTCTCGCTCCAGCAAATTTCAGGATCCTTACCCAGCGATTACGTAAGATACAGGGGTGTTTCCATTAGAAGTGGGTCACACTGTATATATTTTAAATTTAGTTTTTTTTTTCAATTCATACAGATGTTACGGATTTATACTGATTTTTTTCTCATATATGGATATAACTGGCTCTGAAATCACATAAATGTCAAAAAGTATATTTTTCTACAAACGTCAAAAATGCGAAGTGACTTCTCTTCAGTTTCCTACGTTACCACACCATGTGCGAAGCAGTGTGCGAAGTAAAATGATATGTGAAGTACATACTTCGCGCAATGTTATGTAAACTATATGAGATTTTTGTATTTAGACTTTTTATGGTCCTCAATCGAGCAATTATATAAGAAATCATTTATTTTTTAATGTTTCACAATATTTCTTTTCTACAGCTATAACACAAAATTGAGCTCGTTTTACTGTGTTCGATACATCAATGAGCTACTTTGTATGTCATCAATTTTATTTCTCTATCTGATATCACAATTATTCCAATGTGTTATTTTTTCAAAAAAATCCCATCGCTCATGGAATGTCAAATTGCAAGCAATGACAGCTCTGTCTAATAGAGGAGCATTACTTAAGAGGAAATCAAATGACTACAAGACGAAGAAATAAAAAATGCCGCTGTTATCACTATCATTCCGTGCTCGTACAATATATACTATTTACTTCTTTTGGAGCGTACGAAAGGAAATTCCTATAATGTTCATAGAACATCGTGCGTACCAAGGGAGGAAAGGGAGAGGCATTTCAAGCCAATTCAACACTATTTTTCAAATTAAGCTATGCATATTACTACTCGAGAACTATATTTTTGACACTCAGATGTCCACAAAACTGTCCCATCTGAGTGATAAGAGCAAAGATGTTCCCAAAATGTTCAATCTGCCGAGCAGCCACGGCTTGTTCTCCCCACTCAGATGTCCACAAAACTGTCCCATCTGAGTGATAAGAGAAGAGATGTTCCCAAAATGTTCAATCTGCCGAGCAGCCACGGCTTGTTCTCCCCACTCAGATGTCCACAAAACTGTCCCATCTGAGTGATAAGAGCAAAGATGTTCCAAAAATGTTCAATCTGCCGAGCAGCCACGGCTTGTTCTCCCCACTCAGATGTCCACAAAACTGTCCCATCTGAGTGATGAGAGCAAAGATGTTCCCAAAATGTTCAATCTGCCGAGCAGCCACGGCTTGTTCTCCCCACTCAGATGTCCACAAAACTGTCCCATCTGAGTGATAAGAGCAAAGATGTTCCCAAAATGTTCAATCTGCCGAGCAGCCACAGCTTGTTCTCCCCACTCAGATGTCCACAAAACTGTCCCATCTGAGTGATAAGAGCAAAGATGTTCCCAAAATGTTCAATCTGCCGAGCAGCCACGGATTGTTCTCCCCACTCAGATGTCCACAAAACTGTCCCATCTGAGTGATAAGAGCAAAGATGTTCCTAAAATATTCAATCTGCCGAGCAGCCACGGCTTGTTCTCCCCGCAATATGGTGAGGTTGGGCTTTAGCGGAGAAGGAAAAAAGGAGAATTGGCCAAGAGTGACCCATAATGAAGATTGAAAACTAAAGAGTGAAGAGGATACCATCAAAGACAAGTTGGAGATTAATGAGTATCCGACTAGGCTACCTCGGAATTCCCGTACTCACAAGTTGTGAGCCCTTGAGGAAGGTAAACGTTGGGAATGAAGGAAAAATTCACTGGCACTTTCTGTGAAAACATGTTGAATAATTTGAAAAAAAAAATACTTACCAAGAACAAATGTTATCACACACAGATTTAAAAATAAATAAATTGAAACACACTATTGTTTTTCCGTATGCTTACCTCTTTTTTCTCTACAGTGTGCGCATCCAGTACCCTCATAATCAACAGTTCTACAAAGTTGCTCCAACAAGGTTTCATATTCGGAGCCTCGAAAACGGCCCTGAGAATTTGCAAAACCGCCACTTGAATACCGGCATCTTCTTTTTCGTTCAAATTGTCGATCAGCAAACGAAGGATTTTCCTACAGAAAAGTACAAGTGATGTTTTGAAGGGTCCGACTTTTTGACAAGTTTCATACATTTTGATATTCTTAAATATAGACTTTTGAGAGGAAGCTTGTCCAGCGTGCGCTTTGCACTAATTTTTTTTATAATTTTTGGACAAATTTACCATTTCATCTACTATTGTGAGCTGTGACGGAATCCTGATTACAATATACGCATACCAACAAGAAAAACCTTTTTTAATTCTTGTCCGATTCTACTGAGAAAATGTTCATTGGGGAATTACCCCAAAAGGCTATCGACCGAAGTCTATCAGACTAGTCACAAACTTATACATTATGATTTCAAAATATATTAAAGAATATTAAAATAAATCCAGCTGAAATTTTGACCAAATCGTAGATTAATTTTTCGGGGTTTTAGTCTGAATTTTTGTTCTTAAGAAAAGCTGATGGCTTGATCATTATACAGAGTAGAAAAAAACTTACTCATTCACCGTTTACTTCCCAACGCAACTAAGGAAAAAGTGAGTGGTTGAACTTAGATCATGTTTTCGATTGAAGTGTGATCCCTTCTTAACACAACGGTTTTTTATTCTCATCAATAACATCTATTCAAGAGAAGATACAAGTGTTTTAAGAAAGTATGGAATTTCTATAAACGATAATTCAGAAACCATAGAGCATCTTTGGAATAACTTCCAGACGTGCATTTTTCTTCGCCTGGCCTCACCAAAGACTCTTCAAAGAGCTTCAAGAAAAATTTGAGGCAATTCTATGAGTGAGAAATTTGACCAATTCGATGCCACGGCAGTTGAATGCTGTAATTCAAGCTAGAAAAGGATCTAGGTCGGCTTTTTGGTTTTTCATTTGGATTTTTTTTCCCGAAACGAGGTAGAAATGAGTGATATTAATGTATTATCTAGTTATTAATCGATAAGTTAATGTAAGAATTTCCTTTCGTGCGATCCAAGAGATAAAAAAAGGTGCTGGATTATTGTTAATAAGAAAATAAAAATTCCACAATCTTTCGAAATCATATTTTCACTCAAAAAACGATATTGACTTGAATCAAAACCATTGTATTAAGAACTTTTGCCACAAAGCATTGAGAAGTGAAGTCTTATTTTTCCAGTACAATGATCAAGCCATTAGTTCATCATCATCATATAAGTTGAAAAAACCTAACCATACTTATATAAGAAGAAAATCATAGTTTTTATGAGAATTTCGAAAATTTAAATGTAGAAGTCAACAAACGATCAGTGGGGGAATTCGCTCTAAGTTCTCAACCTACCACTGTAGAAGCAATATTATGGCAGTTTGATTACTCAAATAGCTTTATTTTATTGAAATATAATTGTTGGAGTCTACACAGCTCACTGATAGAAGTTATTCATAGAAGCTCATATAACATTGCTCTTACATTGGTAAAGGTTTTTAGGTTGGCAACTTGGAGTGAGGTCCCCTATTAGTCCTCAACAATATAGTACTTTCGAGTTCGTTTTCTCAGTAGATAATATTGTGCACGATTAACTATCCTGCGCGCAGGTAATTCGTGTAGATTAATTAAGATTTTTCTAGAAACTTGTCATTTGTGATATTTTTCACATTAACTATATTTATAGTAAAGAATGAAATAAATATTATTATTATTATTCCCATCAAGTTACGGCCGAGTAAATACAAATGAAATATATGGTTCGTTTTAATGCAAATTCGTCGAAAATCTCACTTGTCGATAATACAATGGACTCACTTGAAGTTCTTCTTGACGTGTTCAACTTGGCCACTCCTGATCATTTCGTACAACTGATAGAGCAATTTTTTCTTTTCCTCTTTTGATATGGGTACATCTATTAAACATTTTTCTATGACGCTTGCTATGACTTGTTCCGAGTCTTTTATTTCTCCTGTAAAAAAAACATGAAATTTAATTTGATCAAAACCTGACACTAATAAAACTATCAAAGATCAGAAGGTGTATGAGGTTATATCAACTTTGGCAAACAAGTGAATATTAATCAGTCTACTTCATAAACTAACCTCTATGAACAGGTAAAAGAAGTGAAGAAGGTAAAAGAGGTGAAAAAGGTAAAAGAAGCACAGGAGGTGACCTTCTACAAAACATAATAGTTAAAAATTGTTTTATTATTTCCATATTGTTATATTGACACGCCACTGGAAAATGAGGTCAGGGTTGGTAGAGCTGATGAATATATTCCTTACTTTTGTCATTTGGCATCTTCCTATGATATCTTCCTGTCTGTCAATTTTAGAATTGGTCCTAAAGTTCCACATTGAAAGGGAAAAAACCCATATCTGGGTTACTGACTGTTTAATAAAACACAAGTTCAAAGTTATCCTCTAGAGGGAGGGTGTTAGGTTTTCAAATGCATGTGAGGATCAGTGGATAAATAGCTAGCTGTTTAGTGTTTGGTTCCTTCGGAAAGAACTTTGCACTAAATATCAATTTGTATTACAAACTTCATTATACTTAGCCTCTCCATCAGGGTTGAAGGGATGTCAGTATCCCACTTGAAAGATTTTTATATCCACCAATTCTTACCCTTAAAAAATTTTGTAATAGAAGGGTGACAGCTTTCTCCTATATGGTACAATCCCAATATGTCTAAGCTGAGCACTCACCTAAACTCCTAAAACCATTAGAATCAGTCTCTGTAACTCCATTGACAGCTGCGTAAGGTAAAGACCTCGGCCCCGACCTGATGTGGAAGTTCGGCCTGATATTGAGCTCCTCCATTCTCTCCTCTATGTTGACATCCTTGCCGACATCGTTGCCGATGGACATTTGCGATATGCCCGAGTCCTGTGACGTCGTGTCTCTATCCCTATCTAACTTGGAACCTGTGAAATATTAAAAAAGTATATTTTCTAATAATCAATACTGTCAATTTTTGTAAACGAAACAAACATAAACATAAAAAATTGTGATAGCTCATAACATTCCAAATATCCAAAGGTGTAAAAAATTAGATAAAAACTCCAGGTCCGAAAACAAGTTGATAATGGTTTCTGGAAGACGAAACTAAGACTAGAGGAAGAGAGGAAAAGGGGCCATGAAAAATTGAAATTTATTTCGATCGATTTCTTCAAATCTTCTAAAAACAAAAGGGTTTTTGGAAATTTTGTTTTTTGTTCGAATATACTCCAAACAATTCGGAAAATTTTAAATTCTAAAACGGCATTTTGTTACGAATGGAATTGCGCAATTTTGCCATAATTTAACCGACCCTGTATCTCTTATGGTTTACGAGATCCCAATGACGAGGTTCGAATTCCAGCTACCCTGTACAAAGAGAAAAAAATACCTCAATCAAAGCTAAATTAACTTCATTCCAAAAATATATTGATTCAATTAATGAAAGATGTTTTTTCAAATTGAACAGACTTTCTAAAGTCGATTTATTGTTAGGAGAATTTGATAATAATCAAAATTGAACTAAATGTCGAAGATGCTGACTGTGAAGAACTATGGGCATGTTACAGAGAATCCGCTGTATTCTACTGCAACCCTCTGTATTCTAACTAATACCTGTTGTCGTTAGAAGGCTGATGATTTTTGCTGATGTTGAAATGAATGAGTATGTCACATAAATAAATCTTTTCAGCAATATTGTCACGAGTACAACATACGGTATATTAGTAATTTCGAACCATGATGGTTTCATAAACATTAAGTTAATCAAATCATCCGTTGACATTGAACTATGAATACTGACCAAGGAACTCTAATGAGAAACGTGCAAATCTGATAAAATGATGTATATAAATAGTGGATGTGAGGGTTCCGAAGTTAGTCTGGTCTGGGGCTACTCTTGACTTGACAACAGCTCGTCCTAATGGTCATTATAATATAAGTTCGGTCTTCATATTCATTGTTGTTTTCTCATATTTATCATCACTACCCATAATATTCCATGCTTCAATAAATATTGTTATGCGAATATAGTCTCATACTTTCGGCTACCCCTAAACTATTAAACCACGAATTACCCCTTATGAATCGATATGGATGGCTAAACCATCTATCATATCGTGACATTATCCGCAATTTTAATAACTTTCATACAGTCCAAAATTGAAGAGCCTTGGTCCTTCGAGCCGGATATTTGAAACAATTAGGCTATAAATTCAAGTTACCTGACGTCTCGAAACTGTAATTCTGTATCTCCGCCGTGGTCCGCCTGAGGCTGCGGTAGACCTCCTCCTGGTCCGGCCCGTCCCTGAGCGGCGACACGCCGGGCGAGAGGCACTTCGGGCTGCCGGCCGCCGCCATCGGGCTGCCCGGCTCGCTACCCGTCGAGCTCTTGCGCATGTGGTGGTGGACGACGTGCTGGGCGAGGTCTTGCGTCTCCTTCGGCAGTTCCGTCAGCATCATGGTCACCTGGCGAGAAAATAATAATAATATAATATATTTCGGAGAAAGACAAAGGAAAAACATAAAAAATAAACAATGTCAACGTATTTTGTACATTGAAAATTGATTACACATTGTTGAGACTTACGCAAACCTCAAAGCTGCATATTATGATGAGGGTAACTTATGTATGTGCTACGAGTTAGATATGAGTGGTTTCCACCAGATACTGACAGTTTGCTTTCATTTTTGACACGTAGATTTCGTTTTTGAGTGGGACACGTAGATTTTGCTATTGATAGATATATTCTTCGGTCTGTGCCTTCAACCCCCCAGCGAAGGGGTGTAATTACTAAAATTTCAAATGGAAAATGGGGTCAAGTGATACATCATTTGAAAGGGAGCAAAATTATCCGTCTTATGATTTCATAATTGTTGGAAGTTACTAAAACAGTTGATGAGAAAACAGCTCGAAGAACATTAACCATTTACAATCAGTAGTACGTTTCAATGTTCTTACTTGTAACAGTGCTTAGTAAAGGGTAAATTTTTTTTATGTTCTGGTTCCCACGAAAAGGGATATCCTGTAATGTTCAGAGAACATCGTGAGAACCAAGGGAAATAAAGTAGGAATTGGTGTTCTTCTTGAATTTGAGGTTGTATGCCTCGAGAACACCTGCCTCGGCAATTTTCGAGTTTTTAATTTTTCTCTCCAGAATAATCTTTGCGAGGCAGTAAGAAAATATTTCTGAAAATTCAATACGTTTTACCAAATGGGACTGTTCTTAGGCAGTACCTTTCAATAAATGAATTCTGATCATTTTACTATCCTTCCAAAACAGAATTGAATGATGTCGTCTCAAGATCAAGTATGAAAATGTCATGTCAGGGACGCCAATACACGAAAACAATGTCACTAGATGATTAAAAGAGAAAGGAGCTATGATCTGTCCGCACCCTGTTAGACGACAAATACGTCAGTTTGCATCAAGGGACCCTAGCGATATCGAGAGATTTCTAACATTTTTCCAACTGAAAGTGATCACATCATTTGAATTTTTATACACACATCACTCAATTATGATGGACACCAACACAATGAGAACAAAATAATATAAATACCTGAGGAGTGTTGCAGTTCCACAACGCGACCAAACACAGCCTGGCAGCATGCCTCGTCTCACTGGACTTCATGTCTTGAGCAAACGAAATGATCTTCAGCAGAGCCTGATTGGCCAAATTCTGCGAAAGGTACTGAGCAGCGTCCGGGTTGGTGCAGAGCGAGCTCAAAAAATTCATGACGACCGTCTTGACGCGAGCATTCGGCGTTTGCGTAGCGTCCACCAGAAACCGATAAACGTTCCCGATGAGCGACTTGACGTGGAAGCTGTGCTTGATCAGATCCAAGGTGGCCATGAGCTTGCTCTGTATCGAGCTCAGCGTCTCGGTGCCGATTTTCAGGAAGACCCGCTGCAGCAGCACGTACAACCAACAGTCCAATTGGCCTTTGTACGTTTTGATGACCTCGTGGAGGGTGTCCAGGAAGACGCTTACGCCTTTCGTGTGCGAGTCCATGAACATTCTGGTGAATATTTCGGTGAGGTGTTTCAGTTCGCCTTCCGTCAATTGGATTTCGTTGGCGAGGTAATACTGTAGGGAGAGCAAGCCGTCTTTGCGTTCTTGCCAGTTGGTGCTTGTGCACATCATCATAATTTGGTTGATGTCCTATGGAATGTAATAGAGTCACTGGATGGTATTAGTTGGATCAGAGTTCGGACACAGAAATGACAGCTGTTAGTGTTTTTGAATGTTTAGATTCATTAAGTATAATCTTGCATTGTGACAACAGCTTCATAGTCGTTCCGCGCTTTTTCATTCAAAATTGTTTGAATTTGACAATAAATTTTTGATTTTTTCTTGGTTTATTCAAAATTACAATACTTGATTTCAGTTTGACGTACAGCTAGGTTATCAATTATGAAGCCAATCAAAATCCTCCAAAACAAAATTATTAAATGTATATACAAACTAGATTACTTCGAATCAACAAAAAATCTTTATAAACCTAGGCAATTGTTAGATATTAACTCCATTTACAATTTAATTTCGTGAACAATGAAGCAACAGAATTATCTCGAATATTCAGAACATCGTGATATTACTTATGAAAATAGTTCTGAACTATATTGTAACAACGACAGGTCATTCATTGAGATCTCAAGAAACGTGAAACATTAATCAATCAGTTATATGCCACGACGAACATTGAATTAAATCTATTGAACACACACGATAAAAGTTTAATAACAATAATAATAATAATAATAATAATTAATAATTGAATAAAATATAAAAACTTCAGTTTATGCCAGTATACTTCTCCTATACATTCCAATTTTCATTTCAATGCTGAGTATATTGGTAAGTTATATTTCTATACCATTACACATCATATTATTCATCCGATTTGAAGAATAATGTCAATTCTCAATTTAGGAGGATTTTATTTTTTATTTTTCATGTACCCCTTTTGAATGTTCATCAGATATAATTCAATGTTCGACGTGGCAAATAGCCAGGAAAGTAGTTGTTTTCTGTTGAATATTCAGAATGATGTGTGCATATACATATTTTTTGTCTGAAGAAGAATGCAAATTCTCAATTTCAGAAGTTTTTATATTTTATTTTCAAACTCTTATCGTCTGTGTTCAACAATAGATATAATTCAATGTTCGTCGTGGCATATAGCCAGGAAAGTAGTTGTTTTCTATTGAATAAACTGAAAAAGAGTAGATATTCTCATCACATAGAGAATGCGAATTCTCAATGTATTGCTTTATATAAATATATATCCATTTTTGTATGTTCATAATTTATCTGAGAATATTCCTCTTCAACACTTTCCCCAATCAGGGGGTTCAAACTTGAACGATGGAAACTTGTGATTTTTATAGACCTCTAATCGCAGATTCGTGATAGAGTCTCAATTCAGAATTTCTTTCCACGCCCTGTATGATGAATGTCAATTTATCATACACCCAAAAGCACGAAAAAGCTCCCACTCTCCAGCTTCCACAAGATGAGAATCGATGTTTTATCATAGCTGAAAAAATTTCTAGACAACAAATGTTTTTTGAACGATATTTCTGTCATAAGGTCCTATGACTATGGGAATTTATAATATATTTTTCTGATATTAAGTCACATTATTTGTTATGTCACATATATTTTGATTCGACTATAGAGCACTTTGAAAATGTAAATTTACATGAGAGTTCGCAGCATTTCTTCACCTAACCTTTTTCTATTTTGCGGTTCTTGAGATCTCAACGATGAGCACTTACTAATCCAGTGAGTTGAAACTCAAATCTAGGTTTAATAATATGTTAATCTAACTTCACATAGTCATGCAAAGATATTGTTTTTCAGTTGTTTCAATATCATGCTAGGATTTGAGAAAAAACGAATTTATTCTATTGTGTCATTTTAACAGAATAATCCTCCCGCTTCGCAGTCGGATTATTTCAACTGTCAAACTGACACTCTTTGTAATTATGTAATAAGTTATCGATGTATAACGCGAGTATTTTGAAGTACTTATATTATTACTATTGAAAATAAGAAAATTTGGATTATTTCCATGAACAGGAAATCATGAAAAAATTCTATGGTTAGAGAAAGGACGTTGCTTACGGTGAATTCCAAAATTTTCTCTCAATGAGGATGTTACATGCCTGAGGGATATTTCATTCACATTACCCGTCATGGTTAAAGCTGACCCATTTCATTGTGTTTAACCGTGACGTCATTTCCGTTAGGGTACACTTTCCCTACCTGCCCTTGGGTATACCATAGTTTACAAATGATGATTGTGAAAAATGGAGGATATGATGGAAACATTCGAATCGAAAATGAATGGAGTGAATGGAAGTAAGATACACGGGTAAACTGTGGAAATGGGTATAGTTAATGTTGACGTCATTATGACGTAGTTACTTCCCACCAACTTCACCTAAATACTCTAACCGGGTTCAACAGGGAATGTGAATGAAATATCCCTCTATGGTGTAAGACGATATACACCTTAGTGGAACAACCAAATAGTGCTGAAAGATAAAGGGTGTGCAAAAAGCAGTTCGCAGCCAAGAAGCGTTAAATGCAGCCAATAAGCTATTTTTTGTTATTCTCTGAACTTACTCGGGACGGTTCCCACATGTCCCTGCTCGATAACCTTTGCTGAGAGCCACTCCATGAGTATGACTGATACACAAAATGATAATAAGCATACATAAAACTCCAGTGAATGGCAAATCAAAATGATGAAGCTTATTCACGAATATTCAAACTCCAGGATTTTCAACAAAAAGGGCGATAAAAATCCCGACTGGAATTTAGTCTACTTGTTTACAAATAATGAGAAATCTTATAGCGTTTTCCACTCGCTGTACTGAGTCGAACGTTATTCAAAGTGATGTTGAAAAACGATTTCCACTGGCTGCAAAGTTTATTCTTGAACTCACAACAGCATTCACCAAATAATCATATCAACCTGAACGTTCTTTGCAGCGAATAAAACTTACATTAGATATGTTTCAATGAATTTGCTTCAGAAAAAACACATTCTGTATAGCCAATCTCAGAAAAATTTACTTTTTAGTTGATGTGATCAATTTTGATTTCCACAGCTATGTGGTGGAGCAGCACTTTATGAGAACATCCAGCCACTTGTGGTTGCTCGGTACTAGGACGTTCTAAAAATCGGCGAGTAGAAAACGCTATTATATTAGGTTGCAAAATTTCAGGTTTCAATTTGGCCTACTTTTTAAAATACAGTTCTCAAACTAAATAAACCAACTCCGGATGCTCCTTTATTTTCTGGAATCCAAAGACTTTTGGCATTAAATAGTTGATTATCCGTCAGATCTACCACAATAATAAAAACATATATGTAATATTCTAACCATTTAGAGTTGAATAAAATAGTTTTAAGTGGGAGATTGAGCGATTTTTGATATTCATAGAAAGAAAGCAGTAACTCAGTTAAAATTTAGATTTACGACGAAAATGGATATGGATTCGGAATTACAAAGTCACTATATCATGAGACTTTGAGCATTTTTTTAATTTAGCGCAAAATATAAATTGCGGGAAACACAGAAAAATTATATCATCGCAAAAACAGACCATACAGTTTATAGGTTTTACTTTATACACTGTGTATACTTTATTCATAACATCATGGTAATGTTTGACTCAGTGGCGTAATTAAGGGGGGGGCATGGGGTCTGGAGTTCCCCGCTCCCAGAGCTAACTGAAAAACCGAAACTATCTGGTAAACAATTCTAATAATAATACATCTTCTCAACCTAAACTAAGACCATTTTCTTGGCCATCAGGGACCCCCAAACGGCCCAAACTCTCTTGGGCACCTTTACTACCCGTCTACCTCTCAAATCTATCTATCCGGATAACCCTGATGAGTTTTTTATTCTCCATTCGTGATGTTGATTAAATTATTGTATTCTTTTAATCATAATATCTGAATGTTTATTCATTAGAGGTTCAATTCAAGAAATTATATTCAACAGTCTCTAGTAGAAACAACATTATATGTATTATGTATATGATTTAAAAATGATTATCTGATTATCTATTTTTTTTTTAGTTGCTCTTTCATAATTTTCCCTGCTATAAACATATATGTTTCTTGGGAATAATAAAAAAAAATATTCTTAAAAATTCGATTACACTGGTGGGTTCTAAAATTCGCTTTCATGACAATATATTCAGAATCCATCTGTAATTTCACGTTAGATAAAACTAATAGAAAGTTACGAAACCAGTTAGGAACGTCATTTAATGTGACTATGACATGAGTTCAACCGTCACTTCAAAGTATCAGTCGAGCAATAATACGTCTCAAATCAGAGACGAAATTCACGAAATAGATTCTTTTGATACTTTCCTTAGTGAAAATGGCTAATATTTCAGATTTCCCAAGTGATATTGAGGAAGTAGTAGAAAATGTAGTATTCTCCTCGTCCATCTCAATTTTTATCAAGTAATTGGTTGTGAAATGAACGTTTCATCACCAGTTATGTAATGTTTTACTTCACACAACCGGTTAAGTGAAGTAAGAAGATTCAAAACTTCCGTCAGTTTCGAAGTGACAAATTTCATGTCAAAATTAGAAAAACAAGCGTACCAACGCATTCTGAGTGGTCTGTTTAGTGTGTCAAGAACTGTACGTCTATTAGGTAGTAGGTATTCATTTTGAAAACGATCTTCCATTTTTATTCCCCACCTGCAAATGAAATGAAATCCCTTCAAAACCAACCCCTTTGAATGTAAAAAAAATAAAGAAGATTGTCATTATGACCATTGATGAATCATAAAAAAATGCTAGAAAAATAAGCCAATGTTGCCATGCCTTTTGACGATAATAAAATATATGATAAAATCACTTACATCGCAAGGCCTTTTGAACGATTCGAAAGATCGCTCCGATCTTTCCGAACACACGCTAGACGTCTCGGATTCGTCAGACTGATTGTCAATGGAGCGCAACGTCCTTCTGGGACTCCTGAAGGGATCCGACGAGCTCTGGAACAAATTCGATTGGAAACATGAGATACAAGCGAAAATTATATTTCACAAAAGTAGTCCATAACTCGTCATGAGTAACTTCGAAAATATGGTCAAACAAGAAAGAAAAACAATGATTGGCTTTTTGATAAAAGTTTTTTCTTCTTGGGAAAATGTTTGAACTCGAATGAGATGATTCAACTAAACTTACCTCTACACCAAAATGTTCATTAAGACATCAGAAAAATTCGACCGACAACGCTTCACAATTGATTTTTTCTTGTTTGTTATTGTCAAGAGAGTTCTTATGAGATGAAAAAAATAAGGAAAGAGTTTGTAATTAAAATCAGATTCTATTCAAAATTGGTATCTGGGGTGTTTTGAGGTCGGAGATTAGGATTCTTTCCTCAGAATTTGAAAATTCAAGATTATGCATCCAATATCGCGGACGACTATTGTAATTATGATCCGATTCTGTTCAATATTGGTATCTAGGGGTTTTCGGTTTCGGAGATTATGATTCTTTCGTCAAATTGTGGAAATTCAAGATGGCAGATTAAATGAGGAATACAAGTTCATTAATTATGATCCGATTCTTTTTGCAATTGGTATCTGAGGTTTTCAATGTGTCGAACGAGCTTTGTAAAAAATAGTGTTTTGAAAAACTCATAAAACATACTTTCATTGATATCAGAAATGAAATGAAAGTATAAAATGAATAGTAGTTTAGAAAACTAAAGAGGTAGTTTACCGACCTGAAGAGAAGAAGAAAATAAATAGTAATATGAAAAACTTAACATTCAACTGGAAAAATATTTTCTAGAAATGATGTACATAGCAAAACAATGTTTGTCGGGTCAGCTATAATCAATCAAATGACTGGAAATAAATTCAAAATTTCTGTACTGTCTTTCTTTCAAATTCCTGATAGTAAATAGTGCAGGGTACAGCTATTCATTCATAATTTCTCAATTATGTATTGGTGATAACCTTAATTAGCTATAAAAAATCCATGGTCTTGTAATTTTCCCTATTATATGTTGAGTCTTATTGCATATGATGAAGTTGTTAATAATACTAATTCACACTATATAGAGATTTGGTGGGGAAAACGTGACAACACAGGACTGTTGGCGTTGTCTTGTCAGTACTCAGCATTCACCACAGAATTGCCAAGTCTCTATGGCAAATATTTACAGGATGTTTCATTATGAAGTATACAAAATATTTTGACAGGCTGGTCGGAAAAGTCATAATTTGATAACTATATCATGGCTTCCTCAGGCCACATGAAATATTTTATTTGGATGTAGTTTCGTTCAACGATGGGGCTCTAACATCTTTTTGATGAATTGATTATAATTATTGCCTTGACAACCCAACACCCAACCCAACAAAAATCAATTCAGGTCCCTAACAAGACAGTGAAGTAATTGAATGCCAATTACTTACTACTAGTTCACTTGACCATTGTACAAAACTGAAACTATATTACATTTATGAATAATTTTTAAAAACTTCTACAATAAAATGGTCATGCTCGCGGTCATGGCGACTAGATTGGCATAAGAATAAAAATTATTCTCTTTTAAAATACTAGAAAACTGAATGTTATGATTGAAGAACATTGCTGGTGGTGGAATAGACCACTAATTTGCTACTCACGAGAACGTCGGCCAATGCATTCTCGGCCTCTCTGCTCTGTTGCAGAATTTTCTGTGCCAACACCGGTCTCGAAGCGGGACTCAACGGCGGCCTGTCGTTCCCCCTCCGCAGCCTTGTCAAACTCGTGTTGCCCCTGTTGGGGCTCGTTTCTCGAGACGTGTCCCTGAAAAGAAAAATAGAATTGATTTTTGGTTGAATAAAAAGGTGGAAGATATTCGCGGAAGATTGTGACTGGCTGATGCTGAACGGTCTTCGAATTTTACACCTACTATCGATGACTCATGAACATGAAGTTCTAACAAAGGAAACACCCGAATATCTTTAAGGAAAACTTGAGACATTCTCAAATCTAAACAATCTCAGAACTCGATTTGCAGATGATCTGAAATTGTATAGAAAGATCGAAAGCCCGCAAGACTGCGTCAAATTACAGGAAGATATTGATAAGGTCCACCGATGGAGTGTAAAAAACGAACTCCCATTTAATATATCCAAATGTATTGTACTAACTTGTAGCCGAAAATTATCTAAAATATTATACGATTAACGACATGCAGTTATCCAGAGTAGAGACTGTTAAAGATTTGGGTATATATTATAACTCCGCACTTTCGTATAAACCACATTTGAATCATATCGCATCGCAGGCACTACGAACTATGGGCTTTGTAATGAGACAAAGTGTACATTTCAATGACACCAAAGCAATAACTGCACTTTATAATACTCTACTAAGACCTAAACTTGAATATGGCGCTGCAATCTGGCATCCCTCTCAGCTAATCAACAAAAATAGGTTGGAAAAAATTCAAAACAGATTTCTGAGAATGATATCTGTATTATAAAAAATATAAAGTTTACCCGGACTATAATATAGTTAGAACAGTAGCACTTTGAAGTGAATTTGAAATACCCAGTCTAGAAAATAGAAGACAAGCAAATATAGTCACAATGTGTTATAAAATCTACAAAAAATATTATAACTGCCCCTATCTCCGATCAGTATTGAAAAGAAGATCTCCCAATCGATTGATCCGGCTTGTACAATTCTTTGATGTTCCAATGTATCAACTAATAACTACTGATCACCAGTTATAACAATGATAAAATTAACAAACAACTTCCTACTATTGTCATGAGTCAGCTTTGTTCTCCCTCCTTCAAAATTTTATCTTGGTATGAAAACATATTTTTCTAATTTAGAATAAACAGTTTTTATAGTGTGTTCGCGCCATCAGTGATTCTCATGTAATAAGGTTTTCTACCTGTTTGAGAATAAATAAATAAATAAATGATAATGATTCAATTTGGCAATGATGCTTGGAGGATAAAGGACAAATTGTAGGGAAGCAAAAAGAGTTCGCGCACAGTGTTATTCGCATATAAGAGTCCCCGATGCAAAATAAATTTCCAAGTTGTTTGCTTGAAAAAAAAAATGGCGATAACAATGGTTGCGAAGTAACTAATATTCATGACATTCTTGTAAAAATCATAGGTAATATTTTTGTCAATCACGAAATCACTATAAACCACTATAACTCAGAAATTACTGGAATAAATAGGTTCCAGTAAATTACAAGAAAGTTTATAAATATAAATAGCATGTACTATTGGGTGCGCGTAATTTCAAAGTCAATGCAATCGATTTATATTTTCGACGCTCAGCTCTTACTAGGCGATGAATTTTTTTAACTTCGAAAAAAATCTACTTGACCTCATCCATCGACTACTTTATTGGCGTGCGGAGTTTCAAGTGAAAACCCCTGTTTTTTTGTTTATTGAGAAACTAGCTTCCAATCAGAATAAAATTCTGGTATGAGGAAGTTGATTACAAACAACAATAATAAAATAACATAAGGTGACAACAAGAACAAAAAAGTCTAAAAAAAATCTAAAGTGCTAAATCCATCAAGTCATAAAAAATAGCAACAGGGACTAATCAGTAGATGGCAAAGTAACAATTTTATCCATTTGATAATAAAATCAAGTTATTTTATTTCAATTTTAAATTTTGAAATATGTGCAATTTTTAATAATATGTGGTAATTTATTGAATTCAGCTAGAGCAGCGTGAGTAAATTTTTGGCCAATTATTGAAGTAGCAGAATCAAGATGAAATAAGTTTAATTGTCCCGTGTGAGGACCATGAATTTATGAGTTTTTTTATCAAAACAAAATTGGATTTCTGATTATTGTTTGTAATATTATATGATACTTTAAGAGAATCTATTTCATACAATTCATCCAATGAAAATTTTTCTGTTATCGCATCATTTGTTGGGATATCAAATGAGTGATTTCTTACAAAGTGCAGATATGTCACTGAAATAGTTTTTTGAACAAGAATTCCAAACGTTTATCATATAGGTAATACGACTGAGTATACGAGAATGGAGTACTATGTTTATGACTTTTTTATCAAGTTTAGGACATCGTCGCAAAGCTCCAATGATTGGACATATTTTTGGTATCAGTACCTCTATATGCTTGTCCCATTTCAATTTTTCATCAATCCACATACCAAGATTTTTTATTTGTGTAGTTCTTTTCAATACTTCCTTTTTAATTTGGAGATTGAGACTAATATTCTGTTCATTTTTCTGATGGAATATTATATATTCAGTTTTATTGGTATTAATTGATAAAATGCTTGAATAAAGCCAAATAATGATATTTTCTGGAATGATTGGGTTTTTGTTACCCTACAGAAGTACAGTATCATATGCATATATAGTATAATTACCAGACAATCCAATTTTAGAATTGTATACTTTCCATATATTCCAAGAATTGACGAAATATCAGCAAAATTAAATATGAATGGTATAGATAGAGTCTAACCAAAGGTGGATATATGTATGGTGAAATAGCTCCCTCTCACAAAACCCTAGACATTTTTGTAGACCTCTGGCCTACTTGATTATGTCGAATTCTATCACCGTAGTAAGGCCGCGCAAAACTAACGCTAGATGGCGCTGTTCTCGAAGTGATCTTGCTACACAATGGATGTTTTGTTTTGTTGTTTACATTTACGTATATTGATTCGTGATTTAAAAACATTGAGAAAAAGTGATTGATTTAATGAAAAAGACGTGAAATTCTCATTATATCTGTGAAGTATATGTGGCACGATGTTCCCTACGCCATCTACAGCCAATCCGGTGCGGCCTTGCTACGGTGTTTCGCGGTCTACACGTTTTGGAAAGAAACAGTTGACAAGTGGTTACACCAGTCTATTTTCATCATGGTCTAACCGATAAAGCTCACCTAGAACCCTGCGTCGATCGTGGAATGCCCGAAGACATCCTCCTCGGCCTGGGACTATCGTGGTCGGCTGCTCGCTGGTACAGATAGGCCAGACGCGAGCTCGGAGAACCCGATCTACTCGTCGCTGGAAAAAAGATTGCAGGAATCTAAAAAATCATACAGAATACGTTCTGATTTATGTCGTGTACTTTGCAGTCCGGATTTCCGACAGTCTAGCAGCCACCTCAGTCACTGGACTGGACCATGCGGTGCCATGAAAAAAAACAATACTTGTTTATTACGGATTTGCTACACCCATTCGCCCACACTGTCCCCAAACGAGGACGGTGTATTCAAATATGATTTCTATGCAGCTATGACTGTTTTTATATTATGTAATACAATGATATCAAGCATCCACCTGTTTCAGGAGATTCCTAAGAAATGCAGTAAATATGAAATATTGTGATTTTGAAGCCCGCATGACCCTCCCCCTCCACCGCGAGGGCTACCAGAAGAATATTTTTTTGGAATTTCAATGAAATATTTTTGAAGAGGTCTGGTTATACTTTATAAATGACAATATTTCGAATTCAATGAATACCTTCTCAAAATTCCTAGCAAGCTCTTTTGGGTTGATATAAAATAAATTAACAGCCATCTGGAGAAAATGGTGTGAACGCTTCAATGACAGTGCATATACGGTCGTGAAGAGTTCCTTCTTGGTGACATTTGTGGCAACTGCCAAAATTACTTGTGTAGACAAAACAAACAGGAGCATTTTGATTACTGATCATTAAATACATAGTTTTTTATATAGTTCGAACTCCAGGATTTTTCTAGCACCTTGTATTGTTTTAAGGATATTGTGAATCAATTTCAATTTGATATTATTCATTCTAGTGCATAATAACTAGCACCAGACAACCTCCTAGACCATGAGGAGCTCTTGCAGTTGATTGAAAAAGGGTTTTATAGATGGAATATGATGTTTTTAATGTGATTGTGCAATATTTAGGAACTCCATTGATTCAACTACTCATTTGGGAACATGTCCTAGTCATTTTGAATTCGAAACAATGGGCGTGTACACCTTAGTAGAACTTTCAACTCAAACCATGTTTATGATTATTCTTTTATACATAAATAATGATTGACGACATAATTCGATCGAAAAATTAGCTGGAATGTTTTATTTCTGGACATAAATAATAGTACCTTCTGAAAACGGACCCTCTAATGACGTAGAAACCTCATCTCGCCATAGTTAAAAGAAAATACCAAACGCCCGAAGGAGACTGAGGCGACTGATATATTAATTCTTTCAACTGTGATCTCGCGCTAATTCACTCTGTCAGAAATCATGTATCATTCATCTCTGTCTGGAATAGTCTTGTTTCAGTATTAGAGTTTTGACGTAACATCATCGCCTCGTTTTCAGAGGTCCGAAAAATCGGGGATTTCAATAATTTTTTATAAAACATAGGGAGCTCACAGCAAGAAACGGTTTGCGGTGGTGAGCTAGTTTGGGTGAGTTCTATCGAATTATGAAATAATTTTTTTTTGTGATATAAGCCCATTATATCAAAAACATACTGCGTACAAATTCTCAGATATCAATCTCCAAAACCCTAAGTTCGTGAGCGAGAGGGTTGAGATCTGTATCACCGTAATCTCAAGCGATGTGGAAGCATGAACTCAAGAGTAAATTTGAAAGAAATATTACTTACGTTGTGATTGGGAGTTTCTATTTCTTGTCCTAGCCATTCTTTCAGGAGAAGCAGTAGATATGGCATCTGAAGATTTTCTAGGTCGAGCTACATATACCAACAAAATATTAATACTACAAAGACAGGAAACATAGAAAGAAATTGAAAAAAAAACATTACATTGAATAATTATGAAGTTATTTTTTGAAAGAAATATTCAGTGCTAAAAGCAGCAGCTGAGTTTTTTGATAATTATTGATCTATATGTATAATGAGAACAGAAGAAGAGTTGATGATAGGTTATTTAGTTAAATAATGTATAAAACTATTATGTACCTTGTTGAGCTACCTCTCCCTCTAATGTCATACATGAAAAAAAAGCAACAAATTTACTACATTAGACTAAACGACACTAAATTACTGATAAAAAGCATTAAAAATTTGAAAGAAACCTCTGACATACAGAAAATAACGCAAAAATGAAATGAAAAAATGCAGTAACCTCTCTTTAGATTCTCGAAAATCAAAATAGAATATGTCATAAATTCCTTTCGGCAAAATAAATATGAGGTTGATTCAATGTCCATGAAACATTTTCATTAAAACTGATTTATCCTGTCATGGCCACTGAAAGAATCTCATAAAATCAAATATTAGGCATTAAGAAGGCATCACATATCAATCAGCTAAATATTTCGTGAAATTATCACTCAAAATTGGTCAAGCTGAACTAAACATTATTTTGCATTAAATAATTCGAAATCAAGCAACTATGCATTCAACTATTGCATTTATCAAATCAACAAGCAGGGTGTACGAACGTCTGAAGTATCAATTCACTAAAAATCAAATAAACATTATATAATTCACATTTTACAATTAATTGAAAAATTCAGAGAGAGCATTAAAACCAATTCAATAATTCAAAATTACGAAATGTTATTACCGAAAATTAGGCTGCACCACAAGATACAGAGACCCTAACTTGGTATAATACCAACATTTCGTTGAAAATATCAATCAATCAATCAATCAATCAACTTTATTATTCCCAAGAGGTACATAGTCATAGACTAAAGCAGATAAACTATTCTCTAGAATTCAGTAACTTGTGACATAGTTGAGGTTTTTGACAAGAATTCAATGATAAAGATTGATAACTCTCAGCCACGTTTGATATGCAAAAAAATCATAGCATCATCAATCTAAATAAAAGCCTAGTAGGCGAGGTATAATATTATTCGTTAATTGTAAAAAACAATGCCAGAATCTACCTTATTCACGATATTTTGAATAAACCAGTGACCTTTATTTAGAACTAAGTTGTTCATTTATTATCCTAACCTTTTTTCGTATTCATGGCAAGATTCATCTTTCTGTCAAGTTTATGAACAATCATTTCAATGTTGAAAATTTTTGAATAATATGAACATTGTTCAAACTTACACTAACATACTATACAGTTCAATGAAAGCAGGATTCATAACATAACAATAGACACGTGAAAACTGATTAGTTGCCCTTCAATTTTTGATAACTCTGCCGCCTGAAAATCAAACCTATATAGGTTGTTTGTAAACGAGAAATTATTAGAGATGAGCGATGTTTCACACAAAAGTGATCCCGGAGAAGGAATCATAATAGAGTAATCGAGTAAATATGTCATACCTACTAGGTTTTTATTTGGAACGAAAATGATCATAGCATACATTTGAAATTGTAATCACATTTTGCAAATCCCAGCTAAAGTATACTTTTTGATGCTCTATCCGCTGAAAAAGTTTGGAATCAGTCATGAAATATGCATTTTACTACTGATGAGATAGTTATTGATACATTTTAAACCAATGCCAGAGTCACCTTCAGTCAGTGAACACCCACTAACATTTTAAAAAATAGCTAAATCCGTGCAAAGCGTTTTGTGAGAGTGACAATCGAGACTTACGAAGGCTCGCGGTACCAGATTGTATTTTAGTTCTAGCCATCGCAGAATATTGTGCTCTTGCTTTTGCTCTCTGTGCAGCTTGAAGGTCGATTGCAGAATTACTTCTGCAACCTTTACGCGCAGAATCTAAAACGAAAAACGGCTTTTCTCAATAACAAAATTACCAATACCATTTCCCATTCGAGAACTTCAGACAGAGCGATAAAAAAAAAACATGAATAATCAGACAGAGATTCATATCTGGTATGAGATTATTCATGCATTATTAAATCTAAGTTATTGAAATCAACAACAGATACAAAATAATAGTTAAAAAATCTCATAAAAAGTACATTGTGACATGATGAATGTACTCAGGTTTGATTTTATCTTTGCAAGAGGATATGCCTCTTGACTTCAATTTTGAATTTGGTGATATATGTGCAACTTTTGATAGATAGATCTTTCCTCCTCAAATAATGAGGTACTAAACAAAATTAACAATGGTGTCCTTTATTGAAATTTACGATATTCAACATCTGTTTCAGGAAGTATAAATATATTATAATTCGAAGTCACTCGAGAAATTTTAAAATGAAACGAAATCTATACCCAACAGTGAATCTACAGAAATCTGGAAATTCACTAAATCTTGTGTCGCCATAAAATATAAACTGGAAATTTGTTGTTCTATTATGTTAGAAAAAAATTAAACCATCAAATTTGAGTTTCAATGAAGTGAATATGATTCATACTTATGAAACAAGACAATTAAATCTGGATGGGGGTTTGAAATGGTTAGATTATGAAAATGATGACTCAATTGCATTATCAGCAGAAAGATGACGTGAGTCATTTTAAAGAAAAAATTGACTTACACTGATTGACTTCCGAACCCCCCATATATCATTTTTTATCGGAAATTATATGTAGCATTTGAAATAGCATTAGACAAAATAATTAAAATAACTAGGGAAGATCACGTTATCATCTCTATATCTCCTATTGATCTGAGAGCTGATCGAAGAACACAATATACATACTTTCTTTAGACAGTACCGGTATGCCGCTACGTTGTCTATAGGTACGTGGTAGCGAGGGAGCCCTGTGCAGGGCGCTACCAGTGCCCGACAGATTCTCGGTGCTGGCTAGCCGTCCAATTAGAAGCAGCGTAACAAAACGGATTGATTCATGAGTACCCTGAAAGTGCCATACTTCTCCAGAACTCTTTGATTTTTTTTTATCTATCATTCTTTGAGTTCTTCTGAGATGATAGAAATTGGTCGGTTTACCAAATGGTGGAGATGAGACTTTTATGTTTCTTAAGAATCTCCACACTAATTGATGGATTGAAAGTAATATCTGGAAATATTAATACATGTATGTATGTATGTACCTAGGGTGTTTCTACCTCGAATAAAACTGAAATTACCAAAAAATTGGGAAAATACAGGCTATCCGATGCAATTTTTTTTACACATAGACCTCATCGTCCAATAGCTGGTTGCAAATTTCGACCGTCATCTGATAACGAAATGATATATATGTCCCAAAGGCATGTAAATCCCTCCTTAATCCTTCCATCATAAAATGAAGACTATGTATAATCTCCCAGTAAATGAACTATCATTGTCTTTGTCATGTCATGAAATTACTTCAAATTTTGAGTGCAATAACAAAAAACAAAATCAGAGTTCAGTATTTAATAGGTTGTCGTTGGTAATGTTGGTTATCGAAATAATGGTACTAATAATAAACAAATATGGAAACTGAAATATAAAAAAAATGAGTAAAAAAGAAGGTGGTGCATTCTGGAAACGGCAGAAGATCAATAAACAAAAGCAGTTAGACGAAGTTGTCAAGAAATGCCCTAAAATACATTCATTTTTTCTAAATTCAAGACAATCAGAACCGATGGAACTGTCTCCGGGAACTTCACGATCTCAAGACGGGAGTGGTAAGTTTTATATTTTGTTACATTCAATACATCAAAAATAGATGAGAAAAATATGAACACGATTAAGCGTTGTTTTTGGTATAATCACAACAAAGTCCTAAATCATTGAATATTGGCAATCCCTGAGAATTTTTTACTATTCCTGATGATTAGTAATGCCAGTGGTGAGTCATTCTCAACTTCAAAAAGAGTGAAAAACTACCTTAGGAATTCCGTGGTAGAGGATACATTGAATATATTATCAATTTCAAGTATCATCAGTGACGTTATTAAATCTGAATGTTGATGATGCCATTGACGACTTTGAATTTTGAAACTGACAATTGAAATTTAATATTTGGCGGCGGCGCGGCGGCATCGTAAAAGTTAGCCCCCGGCGTAAGGGAGTATAAATCCGGCACTGCCATGACGAGAGTGGGGACCTCAAGCTTTTAACCAGAGGTGTCTGGAGTCAACTGAGTCTACCCCCACTAGACGCCGTGAGTGCATGGTGGGCTCACGGCCGAGAATCAATGCTTGCAGGAAAAGGACAAAGTATGGCACTTTCAAGCTACCGAAACGAAACCGACGCGTCCAACCTTCGCAAATGATATACCTGTCGTACTGCGTGCCGCCGACCTGCCGTACTGCCGCGGCGTCTTGAAGCCGCCGGCGATGTTGTTGTTCGACGAGCTGGCGGACATCGAGTCCCCTTGCAGCGCCCGTCTGTAGCTCGCCTCCAGCGATTGCAGCAGATTCTCCGCGTGGTCGGGGAAGTGGTCTCTGAAGCCCTTGAACGCCCTGCAAAGTGCGGAATGCTGTGAATGGGATATACTCACATAACCAAAGACCTAGAAGGCTAATACAATTTGTGAGAAATCGCTGAAACCTGATACGACCAGTTTGCTTACGGCAATGGTCATGCGCACATTGTCGGCGACATTGACAGTTATAACTAAGAAAAATCCAAATAATCAAAGTGGAATGAAATGGTCACAAAGGGAGAAACTCAGTCATTACCACAATAGTTCATAAAATGAACGAAAATGGTAGATAACGAGAGAAAAACAACTACTTTCTTACTATATTATTATTTTGGATTACACCCTCCCGAAATCTATGCAATAGTTCGTATAGAGGAATGAAATCGCAAGTGTTTCTTTCCTAAACGCCGAGCTGCGCTCAAGTGGTTCATTTCACCTGAAATGGGAGATTGTTTTGGAGTGTTTCTTTCCTTGCCAGGTGGCGTTCGACGTTAGCGTTCATTTCTCGGACGTTGAACGCCTCGTGGGGTATAAATGCTGAGATTCGTTTCTGTTGGGTCAGGTTCGCACCAGATAGCGGTCAAGAAGCTATCTGGGACAGCCCTGCACTGATGAGAGCCAACAGCTCGAAACCGGTCAGTAGGTAGTCACACGGTCCTGAACCACTTAAGCACAGATCGGCGTTTAGGAAGGAAACACTTGCGATTTTGTTCGTCTATACGAAATATTGCAGATTTTGGGAGGATGTAATTCAAATATTATACTTATGCATTAGGATGTAGTTCATATTTCTTATAAAACTTCTTGTATACTGATGATCAACAGCTTTACAAAAATCATATATAAACATTTCGCGATAAAATTCATAGACTCACTGATATTAATTGAATGACTAACAAGAGATCGATGAATTATTATGAACTTCTAATGTCATACGAGTTCATTTGACAACTGTGTGAGAATGTACCTCTGTCATTTTGTCTGACGTAGACTTAAGACAGAGCAGGATAAGTTTCAGTTTTTCTATGTTTGCTTTGCGTTTAACATCTTTCGTTAGTGAATTTGAGATTATTGAAGAGTTTTGGTATTTTAATCCAGTTTGGGTGATTTATTTTACTCATAGTGACAATGTTTTCAGAATGAATGATTTTGTGTCAAGAATTTGAGTTCAGGCGTGAGGTGCCAAACCTACTCATCTATTTAAGACGATATTGGATTAAAAGTTTACTCACTCAATAACGGTTCTAGAATTCCTAATAATAAGATAGATGAATGATTTGAACTTATTAGGAGGCCATCGTACCTTAACCATTCAGGAAGAATAAGTATGTTCAGACAATTTTACGCCAGCAGATAGCTTTCTGATGCTTCCAGGCAAATCCAGGGCATTGAAGCCACATGCAAATTTGCCGTTTTTTGAAATAAAGTTATCGAATCTGAGTATTTGGAATCTATGAGACCTGAATACGCCATATTTCATTCGTTTCTCACTACTTTATGTATGGTTCATCAACCTTCTATAGAAGTCTACTCCCAACCTTTTTCCTTCGATATGCCTATGTTCCTACTCTCATTAGAGCAAAACTGTCAAATACATACAGGGACTCTATTCAGGTGTAAAAGAATTTTTTATCCTTGTACACTCACTGGCAAAATGATCGGTCCGCTCAAAATATCGTCAAGTATGCTCATCAATAACTTTGTTAATTGTCCGATTCTATTATGTTTCTCATCAAAGCATGATATGCATACATCATTATTATTATTATTATTTATTGAAAATGGGACTTCCAGACAGAATCAAGTTCTGGTATAAGGAAGTATAGTTAACAATAATACCTAAAACTATACAATAATTATAATAAACTCACAAAAATCATAATATTCGAATACATTAAGTATTGAATTCTGACAAATCATTTCATATTGGTGAGCTACAATCAATTTGTATATGAATCAAAAGTTGAAAAACAAATCATCTATTTCGTTCAGAAATGATAATTTTTTCAAGTTGGTATTTGAATTTTATTGTATTTCTGCGATTTTTTATATTATATGGTAATTTGTTATATTCAAAAAGATCAGCGTGGGCGAATCTTTTTTGACCTATAGAAGAATTAGCGATATCAAGATGAAATAAACCATGCTGTCTAGTTTGGTAGTCATGAATTTTATTATTTCGTGTTAAAATGTTGGATTTTAATCTTTTATTCATGATATTGTATGTTATTTTCATATTTTCAATTTTGAACATTTTTGTTCTAATGAGAATGATTCAGTTATTTTATATAATTGATTTGTTGGTGTATCATCTGGTGAAGGATACAGTACTTTCAATGTATTTTATGTAATGCAGATATTTCATTAAAATTGTTTTTTGAACAGTATATTTGCAACTTTTTCATCCAGATATCTTTTTCGTCAAAACATTTAAATGTTTGTCCCACTATAATTTATCATCGAAAATTCACAAGGTTTTCAAAATCTTTAAAAAACAAACGAAAGCTCTCAACAAAAAGTTACATTTAAGAAGGTGCCAAAATGAATCATTTGTGTAGATTTTCATTTTGAAATATCAAGTGGTAAAATCTTCAGTGATAAATTGTTCTTACTTTCTCGAACTAACTCTGGCCTCGGGATCGGCGTCGGCGATTCCGATCTTGATCGTCTCCTGCAAAACGGCCACGTGCCTTTCCAGCGGGTGCCTCGGCCAGTTGTTCAAAATCGACTCTAAAAATTCGCAGCACGCCCGTCTGATCTCTTTGCTCTTGGATTTCTGGGCGTTGTTCGTTATTATGCCGATCAGTCGGGAGCTGTGAGTGTTCTGGATGATGATGTTGACGGTTATCAAGCCGGACGTGGCCATGATCTGAAAGGGATCGGATTGAACGGAATGGAAAAAAAAGGTTGGTGAACCAAAATGCCAAAATAAACACTGTGCGTTGCAATAGGGGATCAGTGAACACTGAACTTTTCATATCATATCTGTATGAAACGCGAGTAGCTATAATAGATAGATAGATTTATTTGACTATGTAACTCATACAAAAATGGTTTATAGCAAGTCAGTTTTAAAGCACAGATGTATTAAAATATTATATGAAGACAAACGAACAGGATGTTGAAATACACAATAAAAAGAATACAAAGATAAAAGTTTGATCAAATTCATCACCCGAATAAAAACAATATCTGAGGTGTTTCTTCACAGTAGTTTTGAAGCATATTTCATTCATAGATTTAACCTGATTTGGTAATTTATTGTAAAGCTTAAAGCCCAACGAATTTTTCTCAGTTTTGGCTAATCTATAGCGAGGCACAAGTAAATCATTTGCATCAGCAGACCGTGTGTTGTGATGATGAAGGCTAGAAACTTTTGGAATGCTCAGCCTTCTGGAATGAGTTTCTCTCAAATTTTGAAAGATGTAGATACATGGAAGAGGTAAAATTCCCTACTGCTTGAACAAAGGTTGGCAGTGGTCTCTATAACCAACCCCTGCATAGTTTCAACTGAGTTACCCCACAGAACAGTGCCATAGCTGATCAAAGAGTGAAAAAGGCCAAAATATATATGTTTCAACAACAATAGCCCCCATTCCTAAAATTTCATAAGAAATTCCTAGCCGCTCACAAGTATGGAATTCTGAGTAGTTGGTTTCCAGCTTAAAAGTAGTGATATAAAATATTTACAAAACAAAAACCTTCCTTTGAATACATTTTCAATACACTGTGACTAAAGTGTTTCGTGAAAATAAGAATTGCAGGATATATGAACGTGCACATTTCCTATTTTGTTTATTGTTTCAATTCGTTATTTGTGTGCTCAAATGCTACATTTTGAATCAGATAGGAATATCTTTCAAAATGGCGCCTGGATCTGGCCTAGAGACTGTTCTCCTGGATGACCAGGAGTCTTTCATAACTGGAATATCAGTTCATCATTCAGAAATAGTCACACTTAATCAGAAATGAGATTTTTTAGACTGAAGACCAGACCACATACATAATGATAAGTTTGAAATTGATCAACCGGTTGCTTGTCAATTGAGGAATATACAGAAAGCAACTAGATTCAAAATTAACTTAAAAAAATATCTGCTTCAGAGACTTTGATAATTCCATTTCCAATTTGAATACCTACTTATAAAAGACTAGGTTGATATTGTATGATTATTTGCATTTTTTTTTTACTTGTTATATCTTATTATAATTTCATAATTGTATGTATAACACTATGTATATTGTTTATGTATCCCTATTATAAACAACTATGTTTCTTGGGTTAATGAAGACAATCAATCAACTTAACAATGTGTGGACCAAGGATTTATATCAACAAAAAATCGAAAGAATATTGTACCCGGATAAGAAATAATAATTCAACTTTTGGTCTGTGCATATACTGTTTCCTCCCATTTCAACTCTGGCGTTCTATATCTCCTAATAAACATAGTTTTGCATATATTCATTTGATTTTTTTTCACCTCGTCAAGTGCCAACAGTTGCCTCATAGCAATAGAAAATATCTGGTAAATCTGAAGAGAAATATGAACCGCAAGCATTTTGATGTATAATTTCAACAAGAAAAATGTAGAGAAATAATACCGATTCTAATGGATTGTTTTGAAAAAAATTGTTGAGCTATCCTGAAAAGAGTCCAAGGAGAGTAATTAGGGAGACACTATGGAAGTTTTCAAAATGAATAGTTTTAAGGGTTCCTAGGGTTTTCATAAAGAAAAAAAAAACATTTTCCGAAATAAAAATGACATCAGAGAGTATCACGAAAGCCAAACATAACCTCATGTCAAGAACTTATATGTGTCTTTGTGCTACATTTTGGTCCAAACTTCTATGGAATATTTACTTTGGCCGAATTCTGGATGAGATTGATCAGAGGCTGGAGCAGAATTTCGGCGGTCTTGTCGAACTTGTTTCCCAATTTCTGCGAGAGATAGGAAATCGTCACGCAAGCTTCTCGCACGACTTGCGACCTCAAATCCTTCACTGATCCTTGCAGATGCATGTCGAGACTGCGCAGGCCCACGTGGAATTCTTCGTAGCCCATCGCTCCTGCTACGATCAGAGATCTGATTTTTTTCAGCTGAAAGAGAAATAAATCAACGTTGAACTCGTCAAGGAGCATTGTCACTGATACGTCAAACTTCAAATTCATATAATTTATTGAATCGTTACGTATTGGAGTATTAAGAAAGGATGACAACATGACAGCTAACTGTAAGAAAGTTGGGCACATAATGAATGAAACGGAGACGTACGATAGCCCAATCATTTTCTTGCTATGTTGCCATTCACATGACCTATCTGTATAATGAATAAACCATTCCCAAAAGAATGTGGGCCATGAACTAATTTGGAATATTGATTTCAACATTATTCTATTGGCAACATGAACAAACTGTCATGTGTCAAACACGAATCAGAATTGAAATGTCATTTTGATATTACTATTATGTCAAATTCATATTCGGAACTGGAGTGCCACGAACATCTCATTTTACGCTCTTTGAAGTGTTCATTAGTGAACAAAAACGCTAGATGACAGGGCTCAACTCACGCAAAACTCCAAATATCAATGTCAAATGTTCACCATAAAAATTTTGACAATTCAGTAAAGGTCCTAAGACTGTGCTTAAATAATCAAATACAAAAATTTACCCAACATACCACAACAGCAACTATGTTGCCGTCGACAAAAAAACTGATTGAGATTATCTGACTAGTAGCTCTCTGGATGTTTTTCAGTAATTACGAGCATGAGACAAACGCAAAAATCAGTCATGCAAAACTTTTTGCCCACATATTCTTTCCAGTTCTACTGGGGATGGCCGTTGCCGGGATACCAATTTGAAGTTGTATAAATATTAGTATGGTATCCTGGGTAAATTTCTGTATTTGGCAAATAATAATTTTTTCGTGACTTACAGCATCCACTCTTTTGTTCCAATCTTTATTCGGATCGGAGATGATATCCTGAATACTTTTCAATTGTTCTGTAACCTCCCTGGCGGAGAATATTTGTACTGTAGGGCAGTCGTCAAATGATCTTAAAAAATATTCCTCATCCACAGCACCAGCTGAAATAGATTGTGATAAGAAAAAATCAGTGTTGCTTATGGTGAAAGCAGTAATATGGTGTGCTGATGAGAAAATGACTTGATGACATCATCAAGCAAATTGGACAACTACGAGCAAGAAGTATTAATATACAGGGTTATTGATATTTGACGCTCATCATTGACACCTCGAGAACCTCGAGATCCTATTTCAGAAGAACCAACTTTCGAAAACGTTGTTTTATGAACATATTTCAAATAGATCTACAGATGTCATTTTGTTATAGTTTAACTCGGTTTTAGTTGTATTATAGGGAGATGAAAATTGTGTATATCATGAAGAATGGCTGTAAGAATAAGTGGACATCATGGTTACTGATAATGATTCAGATATCCGAAATGGTTTCATTGCCATAAAGTCATATAACCTGTGTGTGAGAGATAATATTTCCCATATCACTGATATGAATGATTATTTTTGGAAGTTTTCAAGCTCATCAAGATCAGAGTTTATGCCAGTATACTTCTCCTATACATTCAAATTTTCATTTCAATGCTGAATATATTGGTATCTTATATTTCTATATTATACATCATATTATTCATCCGATTTGAAGAAGAATGTCAAATCTCAATTTCGGAGGATTTTATTTTTTATTTTTTTTTTGTTCTCCTTTTGAATGATCAACAGATATAATTGTTCGACGTGGCAAATAGTCAGGAAAGTAGTTGTTTTCTGTTGAATATTCAGAACGATGTGTGCATATACATACTTTTGTCTGAAGGAGAATGCAAATTCTCAATTTCAGAAGTTTTTATATTCTATTTTCGAACTCTTATCGTGTGTGTTCAATAGATATAATTCAATGATCGTCGTGGCATATAGCCAGGAAAGTAGTTGTTTTCTATTGAATAAACTGAAAAAGAGTAGATATTCTCATCACATAGAGAATGCGGATTCTCAATGTATTGCTTTATATAAATATACATCCATTTTTGTATGTTCATAATATATCTGAGAATATTCCTTTTCAACACTTTCATACCCACTCAGGGGGTTCAAACTTGAACGATGAAAACTTGTGATTTTTATAGACCTCTAATCGCAGATTCGTGATTAGATCTCAATTCAGAATTTCTTTCCACGCCCTGTATGATGAATGTCAATTCATCATACACCCAAAAGCAATCAACTCCATGATTTTTTTCAAATTATTATCAGAAGATAGAAATGTATCCAAATCAAAAATGACTTCAACCTATTCATTTCAACTTCGTAACGAAATAGTCATATAATCACAGGTAGCTCTGCAAAATGTCTTCTAGATAAATAGCATCCCTACTTATGGTTTAGAGATGTTGAAATGAATAAAAACCGTTAGTTTTTGTAGTAGGATAAAGACGAATTACTGAAAAATCTTATTGGAGTATGTAGAATAGGAGGGGTCAAATACAAGGATCCAATAACTATGTACTAGGTGGCCAAAATTTAAGGGATGATTTTTTGAGATATTCTTAGAAGAAGAGTTTGAAAATATATGATTCGGCAATGCATAATTTTCAAGTTAAAAAGAGTAAAACTCGAAAAAAAAAAGTCTACTACAAGTAACACTTTAAAATTTCAGCAAAGCTGGTTCGGATTTTTTTCTTGAGGCTACAATGAAGAGTGTCAAATGTTAATGTTTTTTTTTTATGTTGAGAGTTATAATTATGAAATTACCAATTGGTTATTTTGAGTCAAATAAAAAATCCCGAGGACGAAAAAGTACTGAAAGTAACAAGATTCAAAATATGCACAAGCCACAGTATTTTACATGCCCACCACCCGAAAATGGATCACAGAAACTTACATGTAGATGCAGCAGAATTTCTTATGGAACCGACACGGCTGAGAGCTGTTCATGCACAAAAGGCAAAATATGTAAAAAAAATCACAAGCAATTAGAATATCGCAGGCTGAAAATAATTATGTACACATCGATAAGGCACATTTCACGAAGAGTCTTACCATTATTTGCACTACTGGGCGTTACCATAGCCCTCTGCTTGACAGCACTGCCAAGTACCGGTTTTTTTAACGGTACCATCGGTTTAGCCATCAGGACTCTGTCTGGTTCGTCAGAAGATACTGCAAAATGAAATAAACATCGTTGCCATAAAAAAAATTGTCCGTCACTCCCAAGGTTTATATTTGAATTTTGTTCAGTAGTTGCCACCTGAATTCTAGGTATTCATAATGGGGAAGTTCCCAATATTGAGGTTTTTATCTCATTGTAAAGTGTAAAGTGAATAAATGAAACAGTTACTTGGCTCCTTCACCATTTCTATGATGTACTTTATGAGAAGCCACATTCACGCAGAGTTGAAATACGATTACCTGTGGCAGTACGACGTTGCCGATTCGCCGGAATCAATGTTACCAGGTTCTTACATTTCTTGACTTTAATTGTCAATATTCGATCGAAAACGCTAATAACGCCTGTTGTAGATGTTCTTTTGGCATCAGATATTTTGCTCTTTTCAGATGGAAAAAGCCGACCAGTAGTGGAAGGAGGAGCAGTTCTCCGTGCTAATCAAGTGATTTTGTGTGAGGCAGAAGACTTCAACAAAAGGCACATTTTTGCACTTTGTCTACAAACTTCGGCGATGAAATCTTCCCCACATGGAGTGAAATTGAAGTTGAGGTCCAGAGGAACTCCTGTAGAACAATGGATTTGTATTTGTGCCTGCAAGGCAGGACAATCTGGGTATTGTAAACATTTTGTAGCTGTTCTTTTATATGTCAATTGATTTGCTCGTCATAATTAGTTTGAATTATTTGAACTATCTCCAATGTAAAAAAATTGACCAACTCAACCATCATCACTACCAACAGTCAACAGTGCCAACACTTTATGTCATTGACAAGTTTGACTACAGCTACAGCAAGCTGAATGCAATGTAGTCTATGCACTTTATCCATAGACAACAGTTTGTTTTCCCCCAGTTTGAAGTTCGTATCATGTAACCTAGATGTCGCCCACTTCGTGAATCTCGCGAATATCATCAATATGTCTATAACGTTGCATGTTTTTTTTTTTCAAATTGAGCAGTGGTGTAGTTATCGCAGGTTATTTAACTAATTTACTGCAAGAAACCTTGTCTTTATGTAAGAACAAGAGGTACTATTAATATGTATTGAAATTAAAAGATTAGACCCAAACATTTTTCAATAGGTATAATAGCGTTGTCATTGTAGTAAAATTGTCTTGCCCCTCGCTTAACCTACGCGACTGGTTAAGAAAAGTGTGAATATTGACGCACAATTTACAGCGTCTTCTTATTTTAAAGCAATTTCTCAACTTATTAGAAACTTTGGAAGTAAGAATGATTGTAATAGTATTTTACATAACAAGAATTGTAAAACGCATTATTATAAGTGCCTTATTGCTTCACAACTCGAGAAATGTACTATACTTTTTCTACGACTACACTATAGTTCCATCAGGATAGTACAGATATTGTGTTAAGACGCAAATATCGAATATGTTTCCCGTCACTTCAAGCTTATTGCAAAGGTATTGAAAAGGTAAAAATTACAATTCTTGTATTCATTTTTGGATGTATGAGAAATTGATATTCATCATACAGGACGTGGAAGGTAATTCTGAATTGAGGAAACCTAATCACTAATCTGCGATTGAAGGAAGAATGCAAATTCTCAACTTTAGAAGATTTTGTTTTCAAACTCTCATGTTGTGTGACTGCAAAAACTACCGACCAATTAGTTCAACCCCGATGTGTGCAAAGTTGATGGGAAAAATTATAGCAAATAACCTTCTGAATTTTTTACTGTCAAACCATAATATACCCAATAACCAACACGGATTTTTACCAGGTCGTTCCACTGGAACCAACCTACTTAAATGCCTTCAACACTGGGCAAGACTCATTGATCAAGGGGATCCCATCGATATTATTGGACTTCTCGAGGGCGTTTGACTGAGTACCACAAAAAGGTTTACTTTTTGAACTAGAACATTATGGTATTCATGGATTGTTACACAAATGGATACAATCGTTCCTTAGCCACAGAAACTTCAAGGTCCGAGTGGGCGATGCTTACTCCACCCTGCATAATGTCCTTTCTGGCGTTCCACAAGGGCCTGTCTTAGGCCCTATACTCTCCCTCATATATACATCAGACATTCCATCAATTCTGCACTGCACCAACTTCCTCTACGCTGATGATAAAAAATTATTCTGCAACCCTCTTGTTGATTCAAACCACTTGCAGTCATATTTAAAACTTCTGGGAGAATGGTGTAACGACTGGCTAATTCCTCTCAATCCTTCAAAATGTACAGTTTTACAAATCGGTCACAAAAATCCGTGTATTCGTTATCACATTGGAAACGTATGCATCCAATCAGTGGAATCCCAAACAGTTCTTGGCGTGACAATAAACAAATCTTTGACTTGGTCGAAACATATTGGCAACATTGTTAAAAACTAACTGCACAATCAAAGCTTTTCTCTTTTTCCTCTACTCATAGTTTTTATGAGAGCGTAATTGTCTTCTATTATTAATTCATCATTATAAATTAAGCTCTGTTTACTACAGTACTCAGATGGAGTAAAATCCTCGCGGTGAATTGCATATACCCACTTTTTCAATAGTTCCTCGTCCAACGGGAAACTAAAAGCATGAACTTTTGGACCACCCACATAATTCCCCCGACAAAAGGGAACGCAACACTCGAAAGGCATTGTTATTTCGCCTATCACAACACAAAATATTTCACAAAACATTAATTTTTCCGCCAATTATTTTTATGAATAAACAACAAAGGAATTCGGGACCGCTTCAAAAACATACGTGAAAAACCGAGCATTAATTAACACGAACTGACGCGTTAGTCGACAAGCGGTTAAACACTGGCCTCTCTTAGGTGACGTCACGACCTGTTTACGTCACAGAGTCTGCTGGCCTCCTAATCTCGGTGGTAACGGTTTGATACGTGTAACTCGATTCATATGTGTCGAGCACTCGTGTAAATATGTCCGGAATCTTGCATTATATGTCAAACTTGTTATTTTCCTAGTGATGAATTTTGTACTTTTCATATAGTTTTTGCTTTCCAATTGTTTTTTTCATGTGGAATTTGTGACTGTGTTCACAATGTCCTCAAGTTTTGGACAAAATAGGTGAAAACCTCTGCCTTTCCCATGAACTAATAATAATAATAAAAATTCAATGTTCGTCGTGGCATATAGCCAGGAAAGTAGTCGTTTTCTGTGGAATAAACCGAGAAAGAATCGATATATTCATCACATAGGTGCATCACAAGAATGAATACTCACAGTCGATACTCTTCACGGCACCCGGCAACAGCTCGCCCCGGTTCTTGGCCTCGTCGAACTTGGCGGCCAGCACCGGCCACTTCGCCTGCGGCACGATGTTCCTGCGCTGCAAGTCGATGCGCAGCTTCTCGCCCACGTGCTTGTAGAGGTCGACCAAGGTGTTGAAGGCGGTGTCCCGCACGGTGGCTGCGGGATCCGAGAGCAGGTTCACGATGTCCGGGATGAATTTGGTGAGGGTGAGAGAGTGGGCGCCGTGCCTAAGACAAAAAATAATGTCCAGTGTTCTCTTTAGTAGAAAATAAATAAAATAGGTATTCATTATACAAGTGAAAAAGTAGTAGATTTTAGCTCCAGGTTGTGTCTAAAGGCGCGTAGAGGAGAGAGACAAAACACCGTGAGTCAAAATCTAATATGTTTCCTGTGTGCGGTAGTATTTCCATAAGCCAGGGTTGCATTTGAAAAAAACATGTTGGGGTTAATTTCAGCTAACCCCTGGAGGGTTATGCTCAGGATTATTAGATTAAAATTGACCAAATACATAGAATCCTGCAAAACTAGCTGAAATTTGGTATACTGACGCTGTATTTGATGATTAACAACTAGTCAAAACTCCTCACGCTTCCGCAGCTTGCATCATGAATATACAGGGTGTTAAAAAAATCTAATTTTTTCTAAAGGAACTTATTGAAAAAAAAATAGATCTGAAAATATTTATTAGACAGGAAAAAATACAATTCTTTGATCAGTTAAATTAAATCCATATCATCAGCATGTAATTTTCACACGATTATGGCCAACACAATGGCGACAAATTGCCGAACACATCAAACCTGATGCTTTTCTACAATCGCACCAATGTTCACATCCATTTTTACAACCTGTAAGTTCTGTAGTGATTGGAACAAGTGTTGGGCCATTCGAGTTTCTATGACTCTTATGATTCTTCAACTTATTTTCATTTCTTTTTTACAAATTCATTTAGTGCTGTTTGGAAATTTTCCCAATTAGATAATTCTTTCAATACATCGGTAGTTCATTGAATTCGTGGAAACCTCGAAAAAGTTATCAGTTCATGGTACCTCTGTCAGCCGTTCTGTTTATATGATTGTATATTATTTGAATTTCAAGTGCTGTACGTATGAATGTCTTTATTCAGGTTGATGAACTGATTGAAGTATTCAGGTGCTATATCATTTACAATGTTGAATACTAGAATTATTGTGAAATAATTGAGTCTACCTTCAACTGACCATCAATTCGAACATGACTGTGATGGGGGTTAGAACGTCCATATTATCAGGTGAAGGGGAAAGATAGACCAATGGATGAAAATTCAACACCGCCTCCACTGAGCAGTGTGATAAATTTCTCAAACGTTAGCGATGAATTGTTCATTATCCTTTTCAAATGAAATTCGCAAGATTTTACCCCTGCTTCTCATAACCCCCCGAAATTTGGTGAATTTGTAGGAATATATTTCAAATTTATTCTTTCATTCAAACATACAAATTCCAATAACTCACTTTCTTTTTCCGAAAATTTGACTAATGTGTCTAACTCTTTAGTCCCAATGAATGTTGATCCATTATCTGAATAAATGGTGTTGGGTTTATCCCAAAAAATCTCCTCAAGGTTCCAAGAAACGCCTCAGTTGACAAACTTGTTACTAATTTCAAATGTATTGCTTTGGTGAGGAAACACGCAAACAGATACACATAACATCTTTGAACCCCGACCAATGGATCGAACATAATTTTCCCATGAGAGAGTATTGCTGATGAAAATACCGAGCATAGATATAGATAGAGATTACAGTCTTGAATTTTGGGTGGCGTTGAATTCAATTAGGATAATGGTTCACCAGGCTGTAAGTTTTTAGTTTCCAGGGAAGAAATGGGTATTCTAGAAGATAACGCAGAATGGGAAGTACTATCGTGGCGGGCGTTGTTTACTCGATTCCCGAGGAATCAGCTTATAACTTATTTCAATAATTTTGATTGTGAAAATATGATAAACAATGTTGGATCTAACTTTTATCAACAGGAAAAAAAGTCGTGCAATCATATATCGGTCAATCTTACCAGGTATTATATGCCATTTCACTTTTCAGTTGTAAAATGAATCATACTATTGCAGATTATTCATCAACTTGCTTCCGCTGTAGCATTCCCCCACCGCGATGATTAATTGTAGTACCCTGTATCTCGACGCTAGTTATCAACAATGAAGTTCCATGGTTCTGATTGGTCTGTACTTATCTATTCAAATAGCCCGCACATAAGTGTGAGCCAATCTGCAACTGTCAAGTGGCGACTGTCAAGTCCTATTTTATGGTTATGGATACTCATGATGGTAGTCACTGTTGAGAATGAAAAACAGTGAATTCTCATTTTTCCGTGTATTTGTAGAATTGCGGTGATTAAAAAACTATGAGAACCATGTAAGGTGAGACTTTTGAATTAGCGTGTATTTCACAAACAGTAGTATGGTGATGTGCTTTAGTAGAACGAATACCTACCTAGTTGAATTTGACAAGACGATGGGATGTCAGATTATAACGCCATCATACTGTCATTATTACCCTCATTACTCGATTCATCACAATAATGTATGTCATTAAATGTTGAAAATCGAGTAAGCAATGTATGAATGACTCCATAGTTGTAGACAAATATCGGATATCTATCGATCTATCTTGCATGTCCCACGGCCAACTTACTCGTTCAACGTATTAACCAGACAACGCAGCACCTCCTCCCTGATCTTGGCGTTCTTGTGCGCGAACCCCGGCTGCAGCTTCTCGAGCAGCTGCTGCGGCGCGATCACGTTGCGCTCGAGCAGCTTCAGCACCAGCAGCTGCGACTTCTCGCGCACCGCGTCCTTCGCGTCGCCGAGCCGGTCGAGCGCTATCGGCAACACTGTCTGCAGGTAGGGGCGGAAGTCGGTGCCGAGCCGGTCGACGAGGTAGGTGAGCACTTCGATGCCGTTGCTGGATACCTGTAAAGACGAGACAGCAAATGAACTTCCTCTCTCTCTCTCTCCTCTTCCCTCTTCCTCTTCAATGCTACCAACGTGGTCGCATTGAAATATAAAGAGGTCCGATAAATCTTTCCTTGTCTAACCTCTAGTCTGCGCTACTAAACTATTTTCGATATTATAATGACGTGATATGTCTATGTCATAAATGTCATTGACTGATAACATTTCGAATTTTCAAAATGAAATTTTGATTTATATCATACTTATTTGACATAATTTGTTAACCCAGATACGTCTAATGTCCTATATGTAGTACAGCTATGCTATCTCTATTTTTTTCAACACTAGCGCCATATTTTTATATATAGCAAGACAAGGCATTCATTCATCACATACAATGATTATGGACATGTCAAAAATAATCACAGACTTGCTCGATTTGTACTCAACAACAGTTTGAAGTAGCGTTATTTCAGCAAATTGATAATTAGAATGCACGCTTTTCTCGGTGAGTTATTTTTTTCCTTTTTATAGTTATGTTCAAATTCAATTTGTGGTCTTATTGATCAGGTTAATAACATATGTTTCACATGCCGTATCATTGTTTTGAGCATTCATGTTATTGGATTTTTTATCTCGGGTTCATTGTTGCCGTCCTACATATAGGACATTAGCTATATGCACGTTTCTCATTTGATAGATGTTTTTCATTCTATGAAGCAATCGCTATATTAAAACAATCTGATGAAGAAAAGATGGATGGATTCTGTCACAATGAAGGTTGGTGTTGTTGAAAGTTCAGCTTCAGAGGGTGATGATGATTGCTTACATAACTTCTCGCATAACTACCAAATTTAAGAAAAATCCGTTCACGAATGCCCCGGAATATATCTATACATATATCCGGGAAACCAGTACTCTTTTTTTTCCCGTGGGAAGAAAGTAATTTATGGAAAGTGACATGTCATGACTTATCAACAGAGATGAAATGTCAAACTTTTTTGCGTCACAAAAAAACAGATATAAATTCCTATCATTATTTTCTATTGATGAAACATCTAAAAAAAATGCATATTATAAAAATACATACCTTGGATAAGAAAATCAAATAAGCAAACAAATTATTCTGATACATTTTTCATTCAATGTCGGACACCTTTTTTACGCGAATATTCGATAAAAACTTACCACGAATTATAGTAGGAACATATTATTGTTATGGAACACCTTAAGAAACTCGATATCGATAATAGAATGAAATTGGATTCTTACAAAACAATCTTCAACGGTCTGTGACTGACACACAAACCCACCCACGCTAACAAAGGTAGCTATTAAAAAAAAAACAAGGTGGCCATCTAAAATAATTATAAATTTCTCAATATTTCGATAAAAAACTTTCACTGAATGCGATATAATAACATGAGAGGATATTTTCACCAAACTGCATAGAAAGTGGGTTTTCTATGACACTTAACAGGCAGCAAATGTGTACTTTCTCTGCCTAGGCTGAAAAAGTTTGTTGCTATGCAATGTTCCAAATGATTTGAATGAAATTGGTAATCAAAATTGACATTGCTGACATTGGGAAGACAAAATGATGGAGTTTTCAATGAAAAAAATTACACAACAGTTATTTTTGTATCTAGTGCGCGAAATGCTACTTTGGTGATCGAGAACTGATTTTTTCAACGAGGCGCAACCGAGTTAAAAAAATACTTGAGATGGCCAAAGTATTTAGCGACCGACTTGCAAACAACATTTTTTCTACAAACGTCAAAAAATATAGTTCTAAAGTAGTAATATAATGTCTTTCAGCCTCCTAATGTAGCGATTCCACTGGGCCCCTGTTAAGAGAACCTGTTATAACACAAAAAACGTATCTTCTCTGTCTTAAATTTTCATAAAATAATTTTGTAACTTCATGAGTTTCCAAAAATTTTTTAACCACAATAATTTCTCAATCGGCTGATGATGGATACTCTATACAGGGTGTCCGGAAATTATGCGCAAAAAATCAAGAGGGTGATTCTACAAGATGAAATAAGAAATTCTTTTTATATGTACGTGGGTCCGGAAATGCATAGTTTTCAACATACAGTGTGTTAAAACTTTTAAACAAGATCGGTTTTCTATGAATATCTCAAATGTCCTTCTACCATTTCTCTTGAAATTTGGCAATGATATTCTTTGTCATAAGGGGCTGATATAGCCATAATTCAATTGGAATTATTAAATCCAGTGGCGTCCTGGGGGCAACCTACCGAATATTATTGTCAATAAAATGTGCGCCACTGATTTTTTTGAATTCTGTATCTTCATAACCTATTAACTAACTAAAAACACAACATTTTGAACTCCTGAATTATTTTGATAATTTGCTTCATTTCCATGGAAAAAAATAATTACCAATTTATTGCATAAATTTGTGCCAAAAAATTCCTTAAAAAACTGAGGTAAAAATAAATGCGGCATCAATGTCCATAGATAGAGAATATGTATGAAGATTCATTTTCTTCAAATATTCCTTGATACATGTTTGACACACTCTACACTCTGTATATTGAGAACTATGTATTCTCGGTCCAGGAAGGCTTAGTTTCCGATAATACAAAGTGTGTCTAACATGTATTATAAAATATTTGAAGAAAATTAATCTCAATTCTTATTCTACGTCTATAGACATGGATAACACATTTAATTTCACCCCTGTTTGTGAAGCAATGTTTTGCACAAATTTATACAATGAATTGGTATTTATTTTTTTCCACGGAAACACAGCCAAATTGCAAAATAATTCATGAGACTAAAATGTTGTATTTTCAGTTAATCATTAGTATATGGAGATAGAGAATTCAAAAAAATCAGGGGCGCACATTTTATTGACAAAAATATTCGGTAGGGTGCCCCCGGGACGCCACTGGATTTCACAATTCTAATTTAAAAACGGCTAAATCAGCCCCTCATGACAAAGAATATCATAACCAAATTTCAAGAGAATTGGTGAAAGAATATTCGAGATATTCATAAAAAAACGATTTTTCTTAAAAAGTTTAACACACTGTATCTTGAAAACTATGCATTTCCGGACTCAAGTATATATGAAATAAATTTCATATTTTCTCATGCAGAATCACCCCCTTGATTTTTTGCGCATAATTTCCGGACACCCTGTAGATCGGAAACATGTCCCGTTTCCATTTATGATTTGATGATATTAAACGTTGTAACTGAAAGAAATGTCACTTCGCAAATTGTCATCAATGCGCCAACCATTTTTTGACGTTTGTAGAAAAAATTGGTCTTATAACATATGGAGGAAAATGTTTCACATGGCAGCAACGCTCGACTATTTACTATCAGCCGCAACAGTCAATCTATTACTTTGACGCCTATATAGTAAAACGAATAGCTATTTGATAGCTGCGTCCATCCCGGTCCATCCATACTAGCTTATAGCCTTTTATAGCAATCTGTCTTTGAGATGATGAATAAAAACTTAAGTGTATTTGGTTTTGTACATAATTATAATCCTAGCTTTGTATACTACCCATGATCCAACAAATTGACATCTTTTTCTCTGAGGTCTGATTGTCTGTTGAAAAAAAATACGTTTTTGAATAAAGAGATGAAAAGTGACTCGGATTTGTTTATTCACGCTCAGATATGCTTCTTATTTTCCTTGTCAAACCAAATCGAAATTTCAATACCAATAAAACAAAATATTATAGAGTTTCTGGAAGCTCTGAACCACCAACGAAATAATTTATGCTGTGAGAACAGCTTCAGAGATTTTAATCGTCTTCACACACGCAACATGGGGAGGCAAGTTTGATCAATAACAACTTTACAATACCATATTTTTGCATTTCTCGATGTAGATCTAGGTACATTAATACTGACTGATTGAAAGGAAAACAAGAATGAAGGTGTGACATAGACTATATAGGCTGGGCATATAGATCTAAACACACTCGGCTGGGTAACGATATTGACATCCCGAACAATAATTGAATAATAACTGTACCTACTTGGCAGAATTAATTGGAAATTATTTCAAAGGTTTGGTTCATACAGTCAAGACGACCTTGACAATGTCGCCTTCTTCATTCGAAAATTATGTAATTAGAATGATCGCAATGATATACTTACGAACAGACTGACTTATTGGATAATGTATGTACAGGGTATCCCAATTTGGGCACTTTTGCGGGGTATCTCCCTTATCAGTAAAGATAGAGCATTGCGGTTTTCGCGACAGTGTGCTACTTTTTTATGAAATTAATAATGGCGCAAGCAGAATTGTGGTAGCTCTTCCGGTTGTCTAGATACAGGGTGGAATTGAAAAATATCACCCCCCGTGTCTCAGTTATCTTTGAACTTATCGAAGAAGTTAAAACTTGTTTTTATAGAGTTTTTCTCGTAGAATCCAGTGGCGTAGTTATTTTTTTGCTAGCACCTTTTCTTTTTTAGTTATGGAGCAAACATATGTTTTTTTAAATGGAAAATAATTGTATACAATAATATATTTTTGGAAAGCCCACTTCATGCTCAATGTATATATGAAATAATATACAGGGTGTTCCGTTTAAAAAAACATATGTTTGCTCCATAACTAAGAAACAAAAGGTGCTAGCAAAAAAATAACTACGCCACTGGATTCTACGAGAAAAACTCTATAAAAACAAGTTTTAACTTCTTCGATAAGTTCAAAGATAACTGAGACACGGAGGGTGCCTGAAAAGTGATATTTTTCAATTCCACCCTGTATCTCGACAACCGGAAGAGCTATCACAATTCTGCTTGCGCCATTATTAATTTCATAAAAAAGTAGCACACTGTCGCGAAAACCGCAATGCTCTATCTTTACTGATAAGGGAGATACCCCGCAAAAGTGCCCAAATTGGGATACCCTGTACATACAAAACGTTACAAGTGTATTTATGAATTGAAAAACGCCTTCGATTTTTAGAAAAATATAGCGCTAGTGTGGTTTTCTAAAGCAACATAACAATTTG